ATATTTTTGAACAAATATTTAAATTTTAATATATGTCGAGTCCGGATTTGCCAATTTTAATTAAATTTTAAGAATTGTAAAATATTTTTTTGGTCTGTCGGGTCCATCAGTTCTAATAAGATATTGTTTGGATCGGCTCAGAGTATAATCGAATTTAATTCGGATCTCAAATGTAACTATATATATTTGTATCGGGCCTGGGTCCGACGGGATCCGACCCATATGCGACTCTATATTTGGGCCCCTATAATTTGTACTTTTTCAATTAATTTTTTTTAACGGATGTACCTTATAAAATTATAAATTTGGCAAAGTATAACAATTAAATCGATTTAGCTTTTTATCCTTTTCGGATGTTTATTCCATTTATTTGGTAGCCCATTGAATTGTCGAATCCGATCTCAGTTGGCCCATTGTCTTGAGCAAGACAGCGATTCATATATATATATATATATTTTCTTTTCTCTCTTCTTATCTTTGATTTCTCAATTCCTTTTTGTTGATTATTCTACTCTTTACTTTGTAGAGTTTGCTTGAAAGAAAATATAAAAAATGATAATATTATTCTACTTTTTTTTTTTTTTCTTTGTAGAGTTGCTTTAATAAAATATATAGGATGATACGGAATTGTTCTATTTTGTTTTTGATAGACTATCCCAAGAATATATATATATATATACATACATATATATGAGTAAGATTCACCGGATTATTTTACATTTTTTATTTATAGGATTACTTTAAGAAAAATATATAAAATGATAAGGATTTTTTTTTTTTTTAATTTGTACAGAGATATTCATTTGTTCTATTCTTTTTTCTTTGTAGGTTTGTTTCAAAAATATATATTGGGGTACTAAGTATATACCAACTATTCTACTCTTTTTTCTCTAGAGTTGCTTTAGAAAATATATGAGAGTGACGGATACACAGATTACTATTTTTATTTTTTTTTAGGATTGCTTTAAGAAAATATATAAAAGTGACGGATACACGTTTATTCTATTTTCTTTACCTGCTTCAAGAAAATATATTTTTCTATCCAGAAGATGTCTTATTCGACTTTGACTTTCTTGCCTATTCCTTTATTATTACCATGTATTTTTCAACATTTTTTTCTTAATTTTAGTTCCATTTGATTTCAGTTGATAAAGTTTGAATATACATTGTGTTTTGTTTTCTTGTGTATCTTTGTGTTTACAATTTGAATTGAAAACTAAAAATCACCATGACTAGTTAGTTTTGTACCAAAATGTCTTCTTTGCCTACTAGAACATTGGCATGGATCATAGTACAATTAAAGTTTTGAAGTAGAAGATATCAAAGTTAGAAAATCTTTTCGATATTGGGTCAAGAATACAAAAGATTTGTCAACTAAATAATAAAATAAAATAACATCTGTTGGAAAATAATTGATTTTTATGCAAAATCAAACTTAATAGGATTATAAAACTAAATTTGACGACAAGATTTGATTGGATTTACTGTGTCAATAAAAACAGGAAGTTTTTTTTATTTGTTTGTCGCTTTCGAATTCTTTTTTAGAGAGATGTTATATCAAAAGTCAAGACATTCTTTATGTAAGAAATTCAAGAGCTTTCATGTTTCTCTGTATTATATGCAGTAGTTTTTAGAACCTGATAATAGGGTTTAAAGTTTTGAATAATAGCCCCCTTAATAATTTAATAAAAAATTATTATTACAAATATTTAATTTAATTGTCCAAATATATTTATCAATAAAATCATGAAATCAACAATTGCGAATGCTTGTAAATTTTATAATTTCAATGTATCATATATTAAAAAATAAATAGTCCTCCAGTCTATTATTACTTTTTGGCTCCACCACTACCTAATTGGATATAAATTTAGGCTGCTTATGGAGTAAAGGCTAAAGAAGCATAAATTAGCTAAGGCCAATGTGTAAGTATATATATATATATATATATGTGTGATACCATATAGATGGAAGTCTTCCAAATATTGACAAGTTAAAAATCAGATTAAATCCGTGCTTTTATCGAGTATTGATGTAATTTTCTTTAACGATATGTTAACTTTCTTGCGACGATTCCTAGTGAAATTGGTCGCACAGATTGATGATCTTGATTGGAGCTTCCTAACTATTTTTAGCATGTTTTTAATTAATTTATAGCGAGAACCAATTTATGATGATCTTGATTAGACGGTAGAGGTTAGAGTATTCAATCATCAAGCCAATCGTTGAAGAATTTTTTGCCCTTAACGGTGAATGAAAACAAATCTTAGAGTAAGGTTGCCTCGTTTCAACACTTTGTCCCGCATGATCGAGTGATCATACCGTCTAACTTTGAGTTTCCGTAATTCTCTTGTTTCATCAAATTGAATTTTTAGACATTTGTGAGACAATATTCAACTTTCCGGCGATGGCCTTTAGGATTAGCATTAATATATTATTAGAATCAAAGTCGTGGGGGATGAATTGTTGAAATGATGCAATCTTGCTCACAAGAATGGGGTGTGTTTACGGTTGGAATTATAATTATTAGATCATATGTAATGCAAAAATTAAGAACTCAATAAGAAATCATTCAATATTTTTATAATATTTTTTCAGTCAGGTCAAGATGATCCTTTTAGTTAAAAGACAACTACTATAAATCAGTAAATTATTAATAATAAAATATTATTTTATTATTTTTTTATAAGAATAGTGTTATTGGTATTTTAAATATTTTTAGGATTAACATTAATATATTATTTTATAATAAAGAGTTTTAAATATAAATAAAAAAATATTTGTTTATTCACGAGAAATAGACATAAAGGGAGTTCGAGTAGATCATATAGGTAATAAATTAGAAATTTAATTTAATTTATTTATATTTCTAAATATGTTTACGATAAATAAATTTACTAAGAATAAAAATAGATAATTTTTTATGAAACAGACAAAAATAAATAAATAAATAAGTGATATGTAGCAAAGGAGTACAAATTTTACATAATATTTATTTAAAAAATAATTTTAAAAATAAATTTATTATAATTACTATCCAAAAAAGTTCACTTTATAATACAATATATTAATTATTTTTTAAAAGTGTAATATTTTATATTTCACATTTAATTCTAAATATATACATATAATTATAATTTATAGGAGTATATAATATTAATTATGTTATAAATATATATATATATATATACTCTCTCTATTGAGAGGAAAGAGAAATTTGGAATCGTTCTTCGCGGTTCCATCTAATTTTATTATTATTCTTTTGGTATTTTATATTTCTGTGGCTGGGTTCTCCAATGCATAAAAACACAGTGTTGCATTTGCTCTTAGGGTGTGTTTGCTTGGGATGGTATTTTCAATTCACTGTGCATTTCATTTTTTTTAAAAAAAAATCAAATCAAATATCTATTTTTTATTTTTTGTATTATATTAAAAATTAATTTTATATTCAAAACATCACATCAACACCTATTTATATCACATCATACAACTATTCAAATTCAAAATTTTTACTATTCAAATCCCAACTCAAAATCCAACCCCAAAACAAACACACCCTTAATTTGTTATTTTCAATTAACACATAATGTAATCCAAAAGTTATGCATTCATCTAGTATAATTAATTCATGAATGCATATAAAAATGTCTTATAAATATCTGAAAAATTATATTTATAGTATAATACAAATAATTATAAATTAAAATCAAAATAACTAAATAATTTAATTAGTATTAAAAATTTATAAATTATAAAATTTTTAAAATAGAATTAAAATATATAATCAATTTCCAAAATATGAAAAGACAAATTATGTACAGACACGTGGGACGAACGAAGTGTATATATATATATATATCTTGAAGTAGCAGCCTTACCCATCATATACAATTTGTTGTCGTGTTTTATTTTTAGCATTTACTTTGTGTTTTAGATATAAATAACCGTGTTAATAATATAAAACATAATATTTTAAATTGAATAATTAATATTTATAAATAAATAAAAAAATTATATATTATATTTTTATAGTATTCATGAAAAATTATATTAATTAAAAAAAATGAGGAAGGTAGACATGAATTTCACCCATTTCAAATATATATACAATAAGATAAAGATATTTAATTTTACAACATAGTTTCCATTCTATCAAATAGTCAATAAAATTAATTATTAAAAATTAAAATTTTGTATTCTAATTGTACACTATTTAATATATATACAAATAGAAAATTATTTAAATAACAATAAATTAAAAAAATATGTATATTAAATAAATAAAAGAGTACTTGCCCGTTTTCTTTGCAACGTCCAATCAAATATTATACTCTTTCATTTTGCACGTAATTTTAGAAATATTAATATTATATTATAATATAAATAAAAATAAATTAGAAATGACTAAAATAATCTTATTAGTAAGGTACTATATAAATGTAACGTGAATACTTTGTTACGAGACGGAGATGAAAGTATTACAAATAAACTCTTATGCTCTTTTCTTTTATTTAAATAACAATAAATTAAAAATATATATTAAATAAATAAAAAGAATACTTGCCCATTTTTGTTTTTTTTTTGCCATGTTCAATCAAATATTATAATTAATGAAAAAAAAAAAGCGAGAGAAATTTCAAAATTTATGCTCCCTCTTTTTTCTTTAATAACTTTTTTTTTTTTTTATTTTGATTCGTTACATAATAATATTTATTTTATTATTTTTTAATAATTATATTTATTATAATATTATAAATATTCTTTAAATTTATAATATATTATAATATTATTATTTTTATAGTATACAATACTAATATAATACTATAAATAAACTCATATGAAATATCACTTTTCAATATATATACAAGATAAGTAAAGATAATTAACAACCATATTTTTAATACCCGGCCCGAAGTTCCGGATCGGGTTGACACTTGACAGACTAATCATCGTAAGTTCGTAACGAGCAGAAGGATGTATTAAAATTTAAACCCCAAAAAAGATCTCTTAAACCCTAAACCCTTTCATCATCTTCTCAGCGATGATGCTCGATGTTCTGCTCATCCACCGTACAGCGCCGTTTGCTTACCCGCCTCATCTCTGGTAAGCCTGTCGCCTTTTCCTCAGCCGGTTGCGCTTCCGTCAGGGGCATCCCGGAAGACGACGCCGTAACGCAAATTGTGGGCTATTTTAATTATTCTCCCCCTTGCCACAACACTAAGTTCTTGATTAATTCCATAAGAACCGATGTTTGGTTCAGGAACGAAGTTGCTCGATCGGGCCCTTCTGAAATAGACGCCGTTCTCGAGAAACTGAGCCCGGACTATGCAATTGACTTCTTCTCATTGCTGCAGAAGGAATTTGGGTTCAAACACTCACGAAACTCCTGGTTTATCATAGCCCACATTTTGGTGGAAAAGAAGCAGTCCCGTGCATTGAAGTGTCATTTGCAGAATATGCTTCAAGAGGAAGGTAAAACACTGTATTTCGTTGTAATTGATGGAAATATATTGCATTGTGTGCACTCTTTGATTTTTTTTTTTTTTTTTATATTCTTTGAAACTGCAGAGGTTGAATTATATTTAGAGTAATTGTCCTTACCTAAGGTAGTACATTCATGAGTTTTGCTATTTTGGTAATGATCAGAATTATTGCAACCATTTGATTTTATGCCAATGGGTTGGACTTTGCTCTTGTTTGAAAAAATTTTGGAAAACGAGCAGGTTAAATTAGTGAAATATGCAAAACTTGTTTTCATGGATAAGATATAGAAGTTGAGCTACAAATCTTGGGGAAACAAGTGGAAGGGCATAAAATGCTGACTTGAATGGATTAGTACTTGAAGCTTTCCCTTTAATGGTGATCGGTTTCTTTCATGCGCAATTTTGATTTGGTTGCGTAGTAAAATATGTTATGGACTGCTTGAAAGTGCTAATTTATCCTTTTATAGATTATTTTTTAAAATTTTTTCCATCAGGCTCTGGATCTGCACCCTTACTTTGCGACCTCCTTTTGAAATGCTTCAGTGGGTGGAATTCAACTCATTTGGTGTGGGATATGCTAGCATTTGTTTATTCTAGAGCTGGCATGGTTCATGATGCACTTGTTGTCCTGTCCAAGATGAAAGATTTTGATATCCCGCCGTCAGTTGAGACTTACAATAGTTTGATGCACAACTTGCGGCACTCTTATATAATGCAGGATGTGTACAGGGATTTAGAAGACAATGGAATTCATCCAACTGATTACACAAATTCAATTTTTCTTGATGGTCTTTGTAAACAGTCTCTCATTCATGAAGCAATTCCATTTCTGCAGAAGATAAAAGAGAAAGAGACTGAGCCTTGTGTTGTGTGGTTCAATACGCTGATGTCAAGCTTCTGTAGAATGGGATATGTGGATATCGCAAAATCATTCTTCTGTGTTATGGTCAAGTCTGGAATTTCTGCGGATGCATATAGTTACAACATTCTTATTCATGGTCTTTGTGTTACTGGTTTTCTGGAAGAAGCAATAGACTTTGCAATTGACATGGAAAAACACGGATTGGAGCCTGATGAAGTAACTTATACCATCCTTGCCAAAGGATTTCGCCTACTTTATCTAAAGGGTGGAGCAGGGAAGGTTTCTGAGAAAGTTCTAAATAGAAACTCAAACTCAGATCTAACTTACACAATTCAAATTTATTGGCATTGCCAGTTCGGTAATGTCGAAGAGGGTTTTCGCCTGCGTGAGGAGATGCTATCTAAGGGTCATAAGTTAAATGGTATTTTGTACCGTGTGCTGTTCAGCACTTTGTGTAAGAGCAGGATGGTAAAAGAAGCTCTACTTTTGCTTTCTGAGATAGAAAATACTGGTTTTAAACCAGATGCTTTTATGGGTTCCATGATTGTTCATGGCCTTTGCAAGTTGGGAAAAGTAGAGAAAGCCATCCAACTTTACAAGGAAATATGCGTCGAGGAATTTGCCTCGAATCCACAAGGATCTATCTCATTAAAAAAATATGATATATTGACCAATAGTGATATGATACTGGATGTTGCATCGTACAATACAATGATCGATAGATACATGAAACTTGGTGATATGGGAGAGGCTATAAAGTTGTACGGAAAAATGTTGGAGAAAGGAGTTTCACCGACTATAGTTACGCTCAATTCTCTAATAACTGGATCATGCAAAACTGGAAAGCATGCTGATGTGAAAAAGTGGCTAGCTGACATCAAGATGTATAATTTGGTGCCTACTGTTGCTACTTACACGACCCTTCTTAATGCGTTTTTTGAAGTCGGAGATACGAAAAATGCATTTGGGCTTCTTAAGGACATGAAAGCTAATGGTGTAGAGCCCAATAAAGTAACTTATTCAGTGATCATGAAATGCTTTTGTAAGCAAGGAAAGCTGGAAAAATCTGTTGAGGTTCTCAGAGATATGATTGCTAGGAATCTTTCTCCAGATCAAGGTTGTTATAATATTCTGATCAAGTATTTTTGTAAAGCCAAAAATTTCAAAAGAGCATTTGAGTTGCATGATGAGATGGTGCGATTTCGTATTAAGCCGAATCAGGTGACTTATGACACTCTTATCAATGGTTTTTGTGTGTATGGAGACCTTGGTGATGCTGAAAAATTATTTTCTTTTCTCAAAGGCCAAAAATTTAGATTGTCCAAAGTTGCTTATACCACACTTATAAAAGCACATTGTGCAAAGGGGGATGCTTGGAAGGCTTTGGCCCTCTTTCATCAAATGTCTGAAGCCGGGTTTGAAATTTCTGTGAAAGATTACAGTGCTGCAATTAATAGACTGTGCAAAAGATCCTTACTTAGTGATGTGATGGAATTTCTTCGAATGATGTTAGTTGATGGTTTTTCACCTGACGAGCAGATGTCTTCAGATATTCTTCGTTTTCTTGATGAAGTTGAGGACTGCTTTTCCAAATTTCAAATATATGCTTTAATTATCAAATGTGGCTAAGGTACCAGTTCTTTGTATGAGATGTATTGTAACTGAGCACCTCACCATCAAATATCCTCCCAATCTGAGTGCTTGGATAAGGTATGAGTATCTATTGTAATGAGCTCTTAGGTCTTCTTGTCTATATCTTTTGTTTTTAAACTCTTGATATTGTTCTTTTTATATGTTCTGTTCTTGTTGTGGTCTCAATTCTCTCTTATCTTTCTTAATGTCCTAAATCTGAGAGTTGAAAATAAAGGTTTTAAATATCACAAGGGTTATCTTCATAATTGATTTTTTGTTATGGGGCTGTTAAATCTGATAACTGTATTATGTTTAGCCAGTCGCTCTATATGGTTGACTACTTGTGCGTTTGATCAAGACATAAAGTGAGCATGCAATATCTTGCAAAGTATACGGTATTACTTCTGCTATCATTTCAAGCAATTGTTATGTTTTGTCTGCATAATCTTACTGTTTTTTTGCTCCTGTTCTTGTATTTAAGTTCTGCAGTCGACTGGTCCCAGTTCAATCTGTGGCCATTACTGGTAAGGAAACTCAGACTCAATCAAGATGCTGGACGGTATGATTTTCTCCATCTTACATAGATTAATACGAGACATTTGCTTCTGCTTGTTCTAATTGCATCTCCTTTCTTTTCACAGATGAGAGCTTTGTGAGCACGGTTATTATGCTGCCGAGACTTTTCACAGAAGCTCCATCTGGTACTATACCTACAGTTTCAACTTTGCTGTTTAAGATAGCTAATTTGATGAAAATTAAGGTTTGATTCCATGAATATTTAAGAAAATACTTTATTTATGTTCATAAAACTTTTAGCAAACAATACCGAAACCAATCAAACTAAAATACACACTTTTAAATTCTCAAGTTTTGAACTTGGATAATATTTTAGTCCTTTTTTGTTTCTCTATTAAATCTTATGCTAACGAGTTTTCATTAAACAAACAAATTGCATTCATTTGATACTACATTTCATATGTACAAATCACATTCAGGCACAAACAAGAAGAAAATGATTGGGACATGGGGTCTAACAAGTTCTGTTAAGGTCGGATGGATTATAATGTTTATTTGGGATTATATCGTACAAATCTAGTGTGCCTGCTAAGCAACCTTCTTCAGGGTGCTTATCCTGCAACCAAATTTCAAAATATTGTTGGAGAACGAAAATAAGTTTTTTGGGTGTTATCCGACCTTTAATGGCACTGTTTGCAGTGCTTCGAGTTTCTGCTTCATCCTGAAACTAGTTTCATACTCTCAAGGAGTAAGGAGAAGAAGTTCGATTGACACAAGTCCAGTATCTTGGCTACTTTTTCCATGGAAACAAATCGATTCCATTGAGGTACTCTGATACTAGTGCTTGTCAGTTTCTCATGATATCTCTGATCCTCGTTTTCATGCTGTGCTGCTGTCCTTGAAGCTTGGTCACATTGAAATCTTCTTTCTTCAATGCAGGAGGAAGCATTCACCTGATCGAGATCTGTTTTTCTCTCAAATCTTAACCTATACAGTAAGAAGATTGTAATTGCTTCTCTTCCTAGTTAACAAGAAAATTATGAGATAGATAAAGGTGTGTTTTGCACTAGCAGCCATGTACTAGGAATAGAGAAAGGGGATTAGAATAGTATGAACAACCAGTTTATAAATGCCTTCTAGGAATTATCACAGTTACATAGCTCAACATGTTTTTCAATTTTTCTTTCAAACAAGAAATTCACAAACCAAGAAATCAAAATTCTTGATATCCACTTTATTCGACCCAGTACTTGTTGCTCCATAGGCTGAAACAAAGCAAATTAGTAGAAGAAAAAAAAACCTGACGGAGACCGCCGCCCAAGTTTAGATTAAAATTAAGATTAAGATTGCCTATGTAGTCTAATTAAAAATATATATATATATTAATTTTAAAATGTAAGTAAAGTGTATAACTATATTTAAAATAAAAAAAAATTATGTACTCGACCTAAATAGAAATAATAGATAAATTAAATCAACCTAATGAACTGTATAACATGTAAACTCATTTAAATTTTTATTTTTATCACCCACAGAAAAATAAATATTTTTTTTTATTTACATTAAAAACTTCACATTTTTATAAAATTAATTTATTTTTATTTTAAATAAATAAAAATATTTTTAAAATTTAATTGTATTATAAAAAAAAAATTATTCTCTATAAAATAATTTTTATTATAATATAAATTTTAAAATATTTAAATATATATATTCCAATTTTCTAATTATATATATTAAATATATTTTAAAATTATTAATATTATTCATCATGTTAAAAAATAATATACCAATTTACTGTTATTAATTAATTAAATATTATTGGGATTAAAAGAAGTATTTTTCTAATAATATTTTTAGGGAATTATTAAAAACACTTAAGAAACCTAAACACATTCCACCGCCTTCCAATTTCACCCCTTTCTTCTCTTTCATTTCTTCCTTCTTTTTCATTAGTAAAACGCTCAATCGTTGTCGGCGGCGGCGTATTGTTCTCTTCTTGTCCAGTTTCGTCCGAGGTTTGTAAGTTCCATTCCTTCACCATGTTTTTGAATTACGCTCTGTTATCAAAATTTCAATGCCGACTGTCATGTTATTTAGGGTTTGAATTGTTTGATGCTAGTATAATTAACTGTTTGAATCTTTATTTTTGTGAGATTTTTGAAGAACAATAAAATTTGCAGATTGGAAAAGAAAAAGAATCCTTATGTTAAATTCGTACACTAATTTTGTATTATGTGCCTGTTCGACTAGTTCTAATCTTAAAGTTTTGTATTTTAGCTTTAATTTTTGGTTTAAATAGTGGTTAGATGTGATATAGCAGTTTTATAAGAAATAGTGAGAATCACAAGATTGACTTAATTTGGGACAGCCATTTGAGGCTTTGAATGCGTTCAATCAAATGGCTATTGAGAATCACAAGATTGATTTAATTTCTTTATCAAATGGGCTAGTGATTGCGATCAACTTGGGACATTTGCTTTTGGGAAAAGCCATTCATGGATTTATACTTCGGAAAGAGGTGAATCTTGATCTTGTTGGGACAACAACTTTGATTGATATGTATGGAAAATGCGGGCACTTATCAGGTGGAATGAATGTCTTCAACCATACATGTGTTAAAGACTGTTTTGTTTAGCGTAATGTTAGCCGGTTATCTATACAATGGATTTTTTTAACAAGACTGGAAATGTTTCGCAAAATGGTAGCGAGGGGTCTCGACCAAAGTAGAAGCACAATAAATCAACGTGCTTTGCGCATTGTCTGAGTTGAAAGATATTGATAGGGCTAAATTCGCTAATGGACATATGTTCAGACCAGGGATGGAGAATAATACGGACATTGCGAATCAGTTGATAAGCATGTACTCAAAATGCAACTTGATACTATCCGCTCGCGTTGTATTTGACATGACAAAAAACAAGGATAGGGTGTCGTGGACATCAATTATACGCAGCTATGTGAGCCATGGCCATGACGACGAAGCCATTGCATTGTTCCGGTTGATGCAGACGTCATGTATACGAACGGATTGTGTCACCTTCACTTGTCTAATTCAGGCAGCGAGTCACCTCAAATTCCTAATGGAAGTACATGCATGCCTATATCATACACATACACCCGATGTCGCTTTGACAAACTCGTTGATCACCGCCTATGGTAAATAGGGGAGGCTCGATATGGCTAGGAACTTATTTGAGAGCATGGTTGAAAGGCAACTATCGTCATGGAACACGATGGGATGGAGGTGGGAGAAAGAGTCGGGAAATGGCTGTTGGAGGTGGAGCTGGGGAGTGCCAGCGCATATTGTTCGGTGTCAAATCCGTTTGCTGTAGGAGGTAGATGGGATGGAGTGGCTTCAATTGGAGCTGTTGCTAAGGAGAAGGGGCTTAGAAGCGCAACAGGGTATAGTCTTGTAGATGCCAATTGAACTGCATGAAGATTGCCGAATATTGACTTCCCAAACTCAACTTGAGGAATACCTGATCGGGTTATACCAAAGAGTAACTGTCGATGGATGGATGATTGTTTTGAATGAAAATTACAAAAAAATTTTAGGGGATTGAGAGATTGAATGATAAAAGAACAGGTTAAAAATACGAAGTAAACAGACCCAAAAGAGCACACCTTTATATGTTTTTAATATTATTTTCAGTATTACTATTTACAATAAAAATGTTTGTCTTTAATTGAAGATTTATTTTAATATTCAAATCTTTTATCTTTTGAAAAAAAAGCATATATCCCTGTTCGTTTTTTCTTATGCTAGGAGAATTTGAACTGGACCACAATCATGGCGGAAACCAAAGATCCATCCGAAAACAATGACTGTACTTTCCAGTGGGATGAGAGTTCTCAACTCTATTACCATGCCAGGTATATTTTCTTTTCCTCTGTAGTTTTGCAAATTTGATTTATTTTTGCATTGATTTACGGGATTGTTTGATTGTTTATTAACAAGTCTTTTCCAAACAATGCTAGCGATCGGGCCCTGTTGAATTCGTAATTATTTTTTATTTTCTTTTATGTCAAGAATGTATGACCTTTAGCTTTTCGAATGTTGTGCAGCACTGGATTTTACCATGACCCACAGGCAGGTTGGTATTACAGCAGCAGAGATGGACTTTATTACAAATTCGAGGATGGGGAATATACGCTGCTTGATGGATATCAGGTGTTAATTGCTTTTTTTAGGGCCCATTTACTCTGAGTTTTGTTTCAATTTATTTATTATACTACCATCACGATTCCTATAAAAAATAGGCCATTTTCTCTCACAAAAATCACAACAAAACCACTATTCAAAACAAAAACCAAACTCAAGTGAACATACCCTAGATTTCTATCTAAGATATGACCCATTTATATTTTATTTCTCCCTCCATCCGGGCTATTTATGCCATAATGCTCAGACACAGAGACTAAAAAATAATGCTCCCTCCATCCCACCACAATTGACACTATTTTCATTTTTGTTTATCCCGTAACAATTGACACATTTCTATTTTTGGTAAAAATTATTAAATCTAAACATATTTAACAAATATAAATCAACTTAATTAACTACATAACATATAACATCATAAATGACGTAGGACCTACTCAAAACCCCTTTATTTCTATCTCTCTCCTAAAAAAAAATATTTTTATCTATATTTAAAACTACACATCTTTTATAAAATTGATTTATGTTAATTATAAATAAACAAAAATATTTTTTTTTATTTATTATAGAAAATTTTATTCTCTATAAAATGATATCCATATTATATGTATTTTTTAATTGCTATATAATTTTTAAATATTTAAACATATATTTTGATTTTTTTAATCATATATATTAAATTTACTTTCAAACTATAAATATTATTAATTATGTAAAAAATAATATCATAACTAATTATTATTAACTAATTAAGCATCCTTACCTTAAATACTGTTTCCCTAATCAAATGATTCAATTTCGGTGGGACGGAGGGAGTAGTATTTTAGGGTGCGTTTGGTTGGCTTCCCAACCGGAGTTGGCCCAATTGTTTTAGAAAAAAAATATTACATCATATGGGACCAACTTAAAATTCATTCAAAATTTTTTATTTTTACTTATTTCCTCAATAAACAAATATATTTATGTACATTCAAAACTCTATTTATTTATAAATTAATTTATGTTAATTATTAATAAATATTTATATTTTTTTATTTTATTTGTATTATATTAAATTTTTATTCTCTACAAAATGGCATTCATATTGTATATATTCGTTTAAAATAATTAAACATATATTTTAAAATTTATAAAGTTTATATGTATTACATCATAAATCAAAATATTAATTAAATAAAATATTCCTAACCCAACTTCCACCTCAATAATCCAATCGGCAACCAACCGTAGCCTTAATATAAAAGTGGGGCCGGTAAAAAGTAAAGTTAGGGTATTATGAAAAATTTATTGAAAGAGTTCATTAAAAAATAGTGAGGTATGTAGAAAGAACAGTGATAATTTTCTTATTATCTGTTAACATAGGAGTAATGAAATTGTGGTTTGATAAAGTTGTACTTTAAATGAATTATGCATATGTTAGGCTTAGCATAATTAATCGGCACGGAGGAAATATTAATTTAGGCTGTGTTTACTAAACATGACTAGTTAATCTTCATATGTTTAAACATGACCTTGAGGTTAGTGTAATCATTTTCATTGTATACGTTTCAGGCTTCAGATCAAACTGAAATGAATGATACTAATGGTCAAGGAGAAACACTGAAGGCTCAAATGCAAGGAAGAGAAATCTCTGAGGTGCCATCACTAGGTGAACTAATATTTCTGCGATGTCCTCTGATATATTTATTGGGGGGTGTGTTTTTTTGTATTTTTTATGTTCTGGAGAATTTTTTTTTTTTTTTTTAATGAAATATAGGTTTTTGATAGGACATTTTAATGGAAAATAGATATTGGATGTTGTGTTTTGAATCTAAATGTTTTTTGACGTGACATTTTTAATACACCCTTAATCTTTTCAATATTTCCTTATATTGTGCTATACGGTGCTGATTTAATTTGGAGTGTACTTGACCTTGGTCGCAATTTACTCTAACCATTAATGAGTGTTCATTTTTGTTTCGAGAGAAGAAATGGTTTTATTAGGCGCCCTCTGTCAAGCCATTGATTTTCCAGCTTGCTAGTTACAACTTGTGAAGGTTAAAATGATTTTGTGCGATACCCCCATGTGTAGAAGTTCAATATGTTATACATATATATATATATATATCATTTTACATTTATTTACATGCTCCTTGTGTTGGTAGAATTCTCTGTACGTGAAACACTTGAAATAAATGGGACCTCTTGCTTTGATGCCATGTTATAATGATCACCTCCTGTTAAAAAGTTTAATATAGTTATATGTATCAGTCTCTCTCTCTCTCTCTCTCTCTCTATATATATATATATATATATATATGTACATATAATTCTCCCTATCGACTTGGATTGCTTGGTCCTCATTCCAGTACTATGTTTCATCCATTCAGAAGCTGCTGTTTCATTATTTAAAATGATTTATTGTGTTTTGAGTGAATGATGTGATGTCTTCTACTCATTGGTTGCATAAATACATTGTTTGTATCATTTTATTTTTATTTTGCTGTTTTGATGGTTGTCTCTATTGTTCTGAAGATGTAAAGATTTCTACTTTGCCATGCATTGTTTATTTTGTTCCTCATCACGATATTCTTCTATTTTTTATGTCTCTAGACAGATTCCTCAGCATTTGAAGGCAGTGATCAGACAGAGTATCCACCTCCACCGTCAGAATGGTGTGCTCAATCTCGACTGTATTCTATCGTTATGCTTGATTTATTGCTGATCCTGTCTACATGCCTAAGCCACAGATCGTATGCAGGCTGGAAGACACTCTTATCGAAATGTACTTATCTGGCTATCCTAATCAAACAACCTATGCTGCCGATGCCAACATGGCAACACCAGTTGAAACTAATGAAGTGAACATTGAAGATCCTTGTAAGTACTTCTGTACTTTAGCTGATCGGAGTAAGTCAATTCTAGCGTCTCTTGCAAGTTCTTAGTTTTGTAAATGCAGGTGATGAAGATAATGAGGAATTGGAGGAAGGCGAATGGATCCCTGACGACCCTGATTTTTGGAAAAACATTAGTGAGAGAAGTATGGATGAAGGTATGTCTACTTGAAGTTAAAATACTTTTCTTTCAGTTCACAAGTGTGTTTAGGTTGCAGCTGTACTTAGAATACGTGTCCATATTCCACATAGCTTGGGTGTGTTTACTTGTGTTTTAGGATGCATTTCATGTTTTTTGGTTGTTTTAGATTTCGAGTATTTTAGAGTGAAAAATAATGGTTGGACACGATGTGATGTTGTGATGTTTTTTTATAGAGTTCAGGTGTGAAAATACTGCTTTTGGTGTTAAAATAAAGTATGAAAAGATATTAAAAACTCACCAAAAGTTTCCCTCTAGTTTGCTGCTGCATTATTTCAATCAAACTCATTGAAGCGAAGGTTTTGTCTAGACTATTTTGCAATATATTCTCCAATACTGAGCAAGAGGAAAGCTTGAAGTTCCTTATATCCGTATTATACCGTGTAATCATATACTCAGGTATATCTCCAGAAGAAGAAAATTGGTGCGCTCAATTCAGCCAACCAAGTCAATTATATGACGAATGGATGTTAGATTTACAAATAGTGGATTTATGGGATTGGGCATTGGTAAGAGGGACTAAGAAAGATGGAAAGACAGAGGTTTCTAGGCTGGTTGGCAGACTGAGGAAGCCCTCTAGGAAGCTTCATCCTTCAGTTCCTTCTGGTGGCGTGATACTGAAAACGGCACCCATATGCGAAACACACCTTGATCTGGTACGAGTGTCATCAGGTTCGACCACTACCCCCTTTACTGTGTCTTTATTTTTCCTCCAATCGAATGTAGGAGTTCAAGTATCAGTTACTAGGGTGTGTTTGTTTGTGGGTTTGGGTTTTGGGGTTTGGATATTTTAATAGTAAAAAATTAAATTTGAATAGATGTTTGATGTGATATAAATGAATGATAGATGTGATGTTTTGAATATAAAATAAATTTGTAATATAATATAAAAAAAAATTAAAAAAAAAAGTAATTATTTGATTTGATGTCTTTAGAGGAAAAAAAAATTGAATAGTAATTTTTTTTTGTAAAATCTACAAAAGAACAAAACCTAACTCACAAACTGAGCAAAAATTCCACTTCTGTTTCTAAGAAAAGAAGCAATTTCCGAATTTTCTTGCTAGATCATACCCATGTTTTAAAACATTTCACTTACTATCACTGATTTTACTTTTAACCATGTGATTCTAACTTGAACTAGTTTTTTTTTAACAATCCTATTTCATTGTTTCCTATATCTTTATATATTGTATTAATAGTACGCAACTACTTCTTCGGTTAAATATGTTTATTACCTATTCCACAGGCAAGATATACAGACTGAGGAATCCGAGCTTGCAATATGTAGCATCCCTGCCAGTTTACGATGCGTCCAACCCAACCAAGGATTGGGGCTTCCCAACAGTTAAAAACCATACAAAGAAGTCGCCAAAATCTCATCAGCAGTTGGAATCCCAAAGCATAGGAACTCTCGATGTTCTAAAAGATAAATCGTTGTCATTGCCAGCTAAAAAGGTATAGATAATCAAGCATACAATTATCCTACCATTTCCTAGTATCATTACTTTTTCCTTCTCATATTCTGTTTGAGTGCAAATTCAGGATCATACGTACCGGGATAGAGCTGCTGAGAGAAGAGCCCTGCACAAAGGGTTTGGCATTGGCCCCGGACAAAAGAAACCGCTTACTGATGATGACTCCCCTCCATCATCCCCTCCTACGCATCCTGAAGAAGCTGCGGCTGAGTCAATGGACTTGTCGTTCGGGTCGGGAAGTTATGCAAGAAAAATTATGGAGGGCATGGGCTGGAAGGAGGTAAGATTTCCTAAACTTATAGATTTAGTAAGGGGCATTAAGTTTGGTTTATAGTTAGTAATTTCTGAAGCTGGTTTTAAAATATTCGTTTAACTATTGGACTGGGGTGCCATTGGGGACGACGTGTTGATTAACAAAAATGAATATTTTATTGAAAAAGTTAGAAAAGTAAAAAAAATTACGAATATTTTTTAAAATTCAATTAGTAAATAAAGAAAATAAAGGGAGAGAATATAAATGATATATAATAATAATAGAGGCGATTATAGTAAATAAATGTTTAGTGAATGGTGTAATAGTTGAACGGTGAAATTTTGAATGAAGGATAACAGTTAAATGACGAAATTTTTGTCTTTCAATATTAGTAATATCATAAATTTAATGAATGTATAGTTTGACAGACATCGAGAGTAATTCAATCTTCATATGTTCGTCAAGAAATGGAGATTGAATAACACAACATAATCCATGATAGTAGACATGGCCTGTAGGACGAGCTATCGCGACTTAATGCTGGTAAAATACTTTTGGACAGGGCGAAGTGCTCGGGAGTAGCATGAAGGGCTTGTCCAAACCTTTACAAGCAACAGGGAACAAAGGAACTGCCGGCTTGGGCTGGAACAACAACAGGAAAAGATTTTGATTCATTCTGAACATACAGGTAGCGTAACATGTTCGTTATATTTGTGAGTTCCCGTTGATCCCTTATGTTAAAAGACATCGTTTCTATATGGACCTGATTGATAGATTGAACAAAACCTCGACCCGACTCAACTGCATTGCACCAGTGTAGGTACACGACGAATGTGGACCGGCTCGAGCCGGCCCAAGCCATAGGCCTAGCTAGTGAGTTTGGATGACTATGCTAGGCTAGGTTAGGCCGGGCCAATGGACATTTTAAGACCATTGTTGTAGAACTTGTGGTAATGCCATTTGTAAATGCTGAACTAGAGTTGAGTATTTACTATTGGGATTTTAACTAGATTAGGATTAGGATTACTTGGTTCAACGAGTTGACTATGTCCACGGGCATAAATAGAGAACATATTTATTGCAAATTACAGATTTTATATCTATTTAAATAAACTAAGAGATTCATCATACAGACTCAGCCCAATGCGAACTCCAAAGCTCAATATTGTATACCGGTCAGCTAAGGGCCACTCTGCGCCCACCTTGACCCCCCGACTCGTTAACTCTCATTAAAGTTCAGCGACTACTCATCCCTCTAGAAGAAGAAGCATTGTCAGCAATGGTAAAAATGTCGAAAATCCATGTGGCACGCTTCCAAGAAACAATATATGCTCATTCAGGTCTTGGCCTAGATTACCTATCCAGTTCAGCTATTTGGCATCTACATTCTGAATGTGGTTAGGCATGCGTAGGTAGATCAGTCCCATAGCTACTCCTCGTCACTTTCTGTTCCATATTGTCGATCGTCGATGGACAGGTCATCTGGAGGATCATAAACAATCATGTCAGGGAAGAGTTCCGAAAAGTCATCTTTCACCTTCTCTCTCAATTCAGGGTAAGAAATCAGCCCTTTTAATATGACACGATATGGCAAAGATAATGGAGGCTCTGGTGAACATCTCATTTCGTCGTATATACGCATTGCTTCATTCGGCAATCCACCATCTAGAAAGGCCCGGACAAGGTCTCCGAAGGTATGCTGATCAAAAAGGACACCCTCGCTCTTCAAATCATACCACACCATTCTTGCTTCATCGATCTTTTTGCTTCTAGCAAGCATCATTAGCATATCTCGGTAGAAAAACATATCCGGCCGGTACCAGATTTCCTTCCGCACCACATCATACAGCTGTCAAAGAAACATACAAGTCTATCAGAATGTGAACTCTTGGCATTCTTAGTTCATGCATGTTGTCAAATTGCGAAAAACAATTTTAATTTAATCCATCTAAAATCCACTGTCAAATCTAAATCTACCCAAACAAATGTGACCTTAATGAAATTCAGACAACAAATTGATGTGGTTCCTAATTATCTTTGATTCTTGGAGCAGACATTGTTGCCAAAGTGATCATCTCATATATGCATTATATAATCTCTGTGTTTACAAACCATCCTTCCCAGCACTGTGATCAAATTAGATTTGATGAAAATATCCTCTTTCACAGCAAGACATCCCAAATTTAGATCTACTAAACACAACCATGATCACAACACAGAAAAATACGATCAGAACGCCGAAGAAGAAAATCTCAAACAATCCATATCAGCATCAATGAAAGCAACAAGTTTATCCATGTCAAATCCCATAAATAAAGCTAAAAAGGTGCAACAAAGTAGAAAGACTACCGGACCTTCATGGAGAGACCGACCAGGTTCTGACGCTGAAACTCTGCGAGGACCGCAACGAGGTCAGACTTAAGGAGACGGGAAACATGTGTCTTCATAAACCGCTCAAAACGCACAGGTTGGCTCTCAAGACGCTTGAGCTCCTTCGTCACCATTAACCCCTCCTTCCCCATCTCTTTCTTCCGCCGCCATATCGACAGGCTAGGCTTTGAAGCAGCTCCGGTGATGCGTTGAGTGCTGATTGCACACTGTTGATGGCGCACCGGAAGCCCCCGTGAAGCCCGCCACAGTAGATCCCAACCCTGTCGCCACATGGAATCTCTAAGCTCAACCCACAAGCCGTATGCAACCACTGCATTTGGGTTAATATTGATAAATACTTAGATAACAACTACGAAGGGTAATGCTGAATTTCTGATCAGTAGTGTCAGCAATAGTTAGGGAGACGCGGAGAAGGTGAATGGGAAGGAGCTAACTATGGGAATGCCCCAATTTACGAAGAATTTGGTAGTGATTCTAACAGTTATGATCTTGTAAATGCTTAATTTGATTTTCTGAAACTTAAAATTGACATGATTGCTGCAAATGCTGTAAACATTCTCACTCTCGGCCATGAAAGATTAAAAAAAGTCAAGTATCTGGAACACAAACTATAATCAACTAGAATAAGAAATGTTTGAACTAAGATTCATACTTAATATTCCAACTCTGCGTCCGGACGCCAAAAAAATTTAAAACTGTTTGAAAAAACAGGAAAAATCTTTCTTTTTTTTCAAGTCTAATTCATGGATTCGCATTTCACGTCTCAAACTGAGATGAAATGAGCGGACTAGAATCGGAAGTATTCTAAGATATGGATCGGATGGTAAAGCTAAGGATTGAACTTACAATTTTGAAGCAGTTGCAGAGGTAGCCGGAGAAGACGACGACGAGAGGCCTGGCCGCCTATGAGAGCCGGAGAGGCGTCCGGCGATAACGAAGTGAAGTTGCAGAGGTGAGAGAAACTGTGAACAGAAAAGAAATGAGAAAATTGTTAAAATTACTGTATTTTCTTGAGAAATGGGGAAGCACCGAAGCAGATGGAAAAATAAAATAAAGAAAAAAGAAAAACTCACCGGAATTCCAGCGGGGAGAAAGGCAACAGCTAAACTTAGAAGAAGGAGAAAGGAGAAGAAAACAAAAGAAAATAAGAGACGGGGGAGAAGAAGAAGAAGAAAGGGAGAGAAAGAAAGGGGGAATGGGGAACGGCGGGCTGGGCTGGGCTGGGCTGGGCTTGCAGGGTTTGTTTATTAATTTATGTATTTATAATATACTATAATTTTTTTTTTTTTCAAATAAAATAAAGAGTGTTTATATTACATCATTCCTCACTTTCTTCAAATACTTGCTACTTCTTTTTAAGATGTTCAATTTCTTGAACAAGCCTATCCAAATCTGTGTCAGAAGATCCACCACCCATGGTGGCTGCCATGGCCATATCTCTCAGCTCCTTCACCCCAACCCTCTCCACACCACCCCCCTCCATCGTCTCCGAGATCTTCCGAGCCAACTCTGCAGGATCGGGCACTTCTTCATCACCCTCAAACACAACCACAGCAGCCCTCTTATATTCCACCAACAGCTTAGCATTCACAAACTGGTCTGCCTCCATAGGCCAACCCAGAATCATCACCCCTGCAACTATCGCCTCCAAAACCGAGTTCCATCCACAGTGACTCAAGAACCCCCCCACTGCAGGGTGGCTCAGGATCGCCGCCTGTGGGACCCACCCCTCCACAACCACCCCCCTACCCTGAACCCGGTTCTTGAACCCTTCTGGGACTGTCCCATACCCTTCGGACAGTTGCTGGGCAGTCGGTGGTTTGAATGCCCAAACGAACCTAACATGGCTCATATCGAGTGCTGTGGCTAGTGCCTCCATTTGGGACTTTTTGAGCAACTTCTGGCTCCCAAAACAGACGTAGAGAACACAGTTATCATCGTTCTTGTTCTTGTTCTTCCACTGGTCCAGCCATGGGATCACTTCTTCTTTATCTGTGTAGGTTTCTTCCCTCGCCCTCAAACCTCCCATGTTCAGTGGGCCTACGCAGTACATCCTTGCGTGGCCTGATTTTCTGATCAAGTGCTGCAAGAACTCGTTCTCTAAGTCATGGAATGAGTTGAAAACTGAAGCCCAGCTCGAAGTGTTGCCACACATCAAAGTGGTGATCACTTCATGACTTGGGTCACTTGGCCCTAATGCTCTGTACCTTTTGTACAGGGAAGGTAGCTGCTGCCAATTGAACGCCGGCGACCTCGGCAGATCGGAGAACTTAATCTCAGTCCCGGGGACGGCCATTTTAGGGTTTGGAAGTGACCAGAGAGAGTCGAAAACTGCGGTCAGGAGTGCTCCGGAGGAGTAGAAAACAATCCTTGGAATCCCCATCTGGGCTGCCAGGTTATGAGTCCATCCGAGGAAAAAATCAGAGAGGATCGCCATGGGAGGGTTGTGGTGAGACCTGAACCACTGAATTATGGGGTCTTGGAGTCCTTTTAGAGCAGACATGATGGGGATGTTGCCATGGTTGCCGATTTCGCGGACGTTTTCGACCCCCGGGGGGATGGGTGGGTGGGAATTTGATGGGAAGGGGAGAATTAGGGTTTCGATTGAGGGGTTGGAGGAGAGGAGGGGGTTTAAGATTTCGAGATTCTTAGGGGTGACAAGAATCGTGATTCGTAGGCCACGGCGGGAGAGGTGGTCGGTGAGATCTAGAAGGGGAAGCATGTGACCCTGCGCGGGGAATGGGAAGACAAGGATGTGAGGATGATCGGACATGGCTTCCGAGAGACAGAAAAAGTTGCTGTAAGAACACACAAGATTCTGTACAAAGACTTTTCTTCTTCCTTAAAAGAATTTTAAGTATAAAACAATGGACGCACACACCCAAATTCCGTACACCCGAAGGATACTACTAAAGTGTATTTCAGTAGTAGGTATGAGCTAAAGCTATTACAAGCCATATATATATATATATATATTAGTTCTTACAATATGATTAACAATCTCAGCCCTTCCAGGCGGCGGCGCCGCTGCCGCCAAATCGACGAGTGAGCATTCCGGAAGGCGACGAGTTCTCCTTAAAGATGGAGACCGAATCGCTATATATCGCCATCAGATCGGCAAACGCGGCCAGAATCACCATCAAGATCGCGGCGATCTTGTCTTTCCTCGATCCTATCCTCGGAGCATCCCTGAATAATCGCGACATGAGTAAAAAACAGAGGTTTCCTGTCAATTATAATTGAAACGGGATTGTACATTGTTCGTTCGTCGGATTACCTTAAAGCTATTACAGCCGGGAAGATGAACGCCAGGCAAACGGAGGCTGTTGCGCCGGTGAATTGGAAGGCGTCCCAAATGCTCGGGATAAAGTTTGCACCGAGGAACGCAACGGTAATAAGCGCAATCGTGATCGTCGCGAACCGGACATTGCTGTCTGCCAAACGGGTGGAGGACGGGAATAGCAGCCCGTCCATATTCAGTCGGAGTGGGTAGAAGATCACCGGGTAGACCAGCATCAAATGCAGCGCGTAGCTGACGCGCACGACGTCATTTAACAACGAGCTGAAAGGGATGCCGAGATCGGTGCTGAAGTTGGCCAGCACATCGTCGAGGGTATTGTCGCCGAACAGAAGGAACCCGAAGAAGCTGATCATTATGTACGTGATCGAGCATAATAACAACGACGCGCGGACAACGGGCTTTATGTCCGCAGGATTGTCCAATTCGTTCTCGATATTATGCACTGCAGAAAGGAACCCGATCAGCGGTCATTGTCATCATCTAACATTCGACAGCAACATGTAACGACGCGATAAGATGCTGAATCTACCGTTGAAATGGCAGACGTAAGCCGTGACGAGGACGGGGACGGCGGTGAAGAGCGCCCCGATCGAATCGATATCAGTTGTGACTTTCGGGAGCAATCTCGGCATCTCGATCGATCCCTGGATGCATTTCGCCACGGCAATGCCGGCCGTGACGACGAGGAAAACTAGCGCTAGAAGAACCGCCACCGCCGACGTGTGCCGAAGAGAATCTGCAGTAGAAACACCATAGGCAATAATTAAAAAAATTCGAGTAGCTACGATTCTCAGGTTATTAAAAATATATAGATATATTACTTACCAATGCGTTTGAAGCAGGCCAGAGGAGTGAACACAGAGAGAGTTGTGACAACAAGAACAAAGAACCGGCCGGTCCACCAGTGCGGACCGAACCAGCCTTCCAATACTCCGGCGTGGTGGACGCCGTCCGACGACGATCCCGACAGCACATCACCTTCAAAATTCAGATTATGCGAAATCAATTCCCAAATTACAGAGTTAGATTCAGATACAGATATATATTTTTATGTATATGTTTTTTTAGGTACCGATGATGATCATGTAGACAACGAGCAATCCGATGTTATTTATAACGACGCAGGCTTGGAGGAGCCGGCGGCCGAAATCGCCGTAGGCGGCGGCCATGACATCTCCGTAGGAGGTGGCGCCGCCGGCTTTGCTGAAGCGCATCAACATCCGTACGGAGAAATCCGTGAGGGCAGCGACGAGGATAATCGCGGCAATGCCGAGGGCGAGCCCTAGGACCTTCATCGTCGCCGGAAGCGCCATTATCCCGGCGCCGATGATGGTGGTGGAGAGATTGAAAACCGCTCCGGCGAACGAGGCGCCGTCGAATTCCCGATCCCCAAACCCGCCGCCGCCGCTGCTGCTGCTGCTGCTCTCTCCCTTCCTCAGAAGAGGCGTTCTCTCGTCGGCGATTCTCACCCCCACCGCATCGTCTCCCCCAGCCCTCACCGGCGGCGAATCTCTCCGATCTTCAACCGTCATAATTTTTAATCCAGATTTCAAAACCCTAAATCAGAATAAAAGCTCGGAATCGCAGGACAAAAACAAAATCCCCAACAAAACACAAGGAATTACAGAAAGATCAGATAGGCGGAGACACGTAGACGACAGTCAGCATTGGATCGAGGATATGAATTAATAGATGGGGTGGGTGGTTTAATTGTCGTGTTGAAATTGGGTTAGTGCTGAGTGAATGGAAGAAATGTGTGATGGGATATGTGGCGAACGGTACACGTTGCCCAATCACTACACCTCACTTTCATTCGTGGATATAAAATGCAGCTGATTTCACAGCTGTCTGCAGATTTTTTGTAGCCGGGACGACTGGAGGATTGATCTTGATGGTGGGTGCACCGTTTCTACGGAGTTCTAGAAACATTCTTGAGGTTCGTACTGTTAATTCAACCCATAATTTCTGAGTTTAGTTTCAACTGTTCGAAAACTATTTATGATAACATAGACAAATAAATAAATAAAAGTTATGTTGTGTTTTTTTTTTTTTTTTTAATTTTTACCGTGTCTTTTTACTTAAAAAAAAAAAAAAAAAAAAAAATTGTATCGTATCAAATAATTATTTTTTTATTTTTTATATTATATTACAAATTTATTTTATATTTAAAATATCACATCAACCTCTATTTATATCCCATCAAATAATATTAAAATTTAATTTTTTACTATTAAAAATCCAAAAACTAAAACCACGCCATATATTACTTTAGTGGTATTTTAACATTGTTATTAAAATATGAAAAAATACATATTATGATAAAATGGACAAAAGAAATAAAAACATATAATTGAAACGAATGGAAAATTAGAACATATTTATCAATTATTATTGTGTACTTCATTCTTTATTCAATAATGTTCATATTTATTAATGATAATAACTATTTAATATTATACAAATTATTCTTCAAAATATGTATTAGTGTAGATATATTGTAAAATACCAACAGAAATAATTATATAATTTTATTTTTAGTAACAACAGTAATATTTACGATGAATGTACTTCTATATTACATATAGATAATTGTATTGATAATATAAAAATAATATTTTATATTAAATTATTTTTAAGATAAATAAAAATATATATTATATATATTGTGTTAATATATATTTTTTATTTTTCACAATGCTTATGAAAAAGACGTGCACTCAAAAGTAAAGTAGACAAAGAAACTCTTAATAATTATATACTCTCTCCGCCCGCTCAAGATGACTCATTTGGTTAAGGACACATTTAGTGTAGATTAGTAAATTATTAATAATAAATTATGATATTATTTTATTATTTTTATATGAGTAGTGTTGTTGGCATTTTAAATATTTTTAGTATTATATATCAATAAAATATATGTAGATAATAAAATTTTATATAATATTTATTTATAATTAACTTAAAACTTTTATTAAAAATAAAAAGTTTTAAATATAGATAAAAATATTTATTTATTAAGAAGTGAGATAGAAATAAAGGGTTTTGAGTGGGTCATATGTGTAAGATGTTATAAATTTAATTAAATTGATTTTTATATATTAAATATGTTTAACATGAATAAATTTACTAAAAATATAAAGGGATCGTTTTTAATGGAACAGACAAAAAAAAAGAGTCATATGTAGCGGCGGACAAAGTATATATTTTCTAATATATGTATTTAATAGGATATATAATATTGTGAAAAAATAAATAATATAAAAAAAAATCAATTTATTAGTGTGCTTTTACAAATAATAAACACAAAAAAATAATTTATCATCCATTGTCCGACGGTTATAAACTAGTACTCCCTCCTTCTCATGTAATATGGGTGTATTACTATAGACACGAGAATTTAGGTAAAGTATAATTAATAACTAATTAAGAAGTGTATTAGTAAAAATAATTATAAATTAAGATAAGTAAATAATTTAATTAAAATTAAAAAAATTATAAAATTTAAAATTTAAAATACGATTAAAATGTATAATTATATTTCCAAAAATAGAAAGGATAAGTTACATATGACGGACAAAAATATAAAATATGGACAAATTACGTGGGACGAAGGAGTACTATATACCCATGATTCATAGGGTGCTGACAGCTAAAACTATTTTTATAATGTTGTATAAGTTACTTTATCGCTTGGAGGCTTTGCAGATTATATATTTTATGAGAATAATTTAGGGTGTGTTTTCTTTTTTTTATGACACATGTTTTAAAAAAATAAATATATTATATATATTTATTATTTTTATATTAATTAAATAATTTTTTATATTTCATCTAAAAAAAAATATTATTTTAAATTATTTTACAAAATAAACATACCTAGTAATTCTGTAATTGATGATTTGATATTATAAATATATTATATCTTCCGTTTGACTAAGTATATCACTTTATTCAGATACGGAAACTAAAAAGTAATAATATTTTTTATTCTTTTTGTTTCATTTACCATGTTCACATTTTCATTTTTGTCTGTCGCACTTAGTCTTTCACTTTTCTTTTTGGAAAAAAATTATACACTTTAATCTCATTTTAAATTTTTTAATTTATATTTTAAAAATTTTAATTAGATTAATTAGGTATCTTAATCTAATTTAAAATTATTTTTATTATAGGATAATTATTTTACTAATACATTTTTTATTATTTACTAATTATACCCTTCATAAATTCTCGTATCTATCGTAGATGGACAGGATAGCCAGGACGAATGGATTACTTTATAAGTAGGGTAAGTAGAAAATGAATGAAAATATTATAATAAAATTTATTAAAAAATCGATTACACGACGATGCAATAAATAGAAAAATAGTAGCAAAATAATTATTATTTGTTGAAAGATGAATAATAAAACTGCTGATAATATAATATTTATTATAAATAAATTATTCATAAATTTAGTAGACATTAAAAAAAGAAAAAGAAAAAAAAAAGTCATAATTATAGCATATTGATAGAGTAAATATTTGTATAAATGGTTAATTAAAAATGCTACTATATGTTCATTATTGTTTAAATATTTTAATTATCATATCAAAGTTTTCAATTGCAATTTTTCAAAATATTAATAATAAATACAAATATTTTATACAAAAGTAAAAAAATAAAAAATCAAATACTCATTATAAAAAGTTAAAAAATAATTTTTAAAAATTAAAAAGTTAAATATTCAATCTAAAATAATATATTATATTTTTTAGACAAATTTTTATATCACACACCAACAATCATTTAATATACTCAAATTTATTTAATATGATGTATGAAATGGTATGATTTAGATTGTTGATTAGGTTTAACCAACACCGTGTTGATTTACCCTAATCAACTCATAAAAAGTGCTAGACAATATATATGGTTCTTTAAAATTATATGTTCAACATTATATTGAAAGTATTGATTCAGCATTGGAACACAACTTGTATTGATTGAAGCTAGAAAAAATTATATTGAATATGAAAAAGATATAATCCTATTCAATATTATTAGGTTTAATTCCTAATTATCATAATTTTTTTTTTCAAAAATACGCTAGGATTTGAACCTATGATTTTACAGTCACGAGTCAATTCCATACTACCAAATCATCTTTTCCGGAAATGCATTTATCCTCTTTATTGCACCAATAGTAATGTATTAAGGGTGTGTTTGTTTGGAGATTTGAATTTTGAGTTGGGATTTGAATAGTAAAAATTTTAAATTTGAATAGTTGTATGATTTGATATAAATAGGTCTTGATGTGATGTTTTGAATGTAAAATTAATTTTTAGTATAATATAAAAGATAAAAAATAAGTATTTGATTTGATATTTTTGGGAAAAAAATGGGATGAATAGCAGAAATCTAATCCAATCCCCCAAACAAACACACTATAAATGTATTGTGAGTCATATTTTGTTATGTTTTGCCATTTTATTCTAGATGCAAATAATATGCTATGGACGAATTTGGAGTAGATCTTGTATATATATCAAAATTACTAGGGTTGTGTTTCTTTCACTTAAAATTTTAAAATTTTATTACTTGAACTATGTATTTTTTTAATTTTTTTTTTTATCTTTTAAAATATTCTATCATATATTATGTTAATATAAAACTTAGATCAAATATTTTTAAACTAAAAAAAAAGACTCTAAATTCTACTCATTCCTATAAAAAAACACTTAAAAAAATTAGATATAAAACATATTATGTCTTCCACAAAATAAGATTTCTTCATATTTGATAGAACATAATTTATAAAAAACAATATGAACATAATTATAAAAAAACAAAAATCATTATTTTTCGAAATTGATTATTCAGTTAGTAAAAATACATTGACCGTATAAATGAATTAATTGGTATTTTTTCAATTATTTGAACTTGAAATTATTTAAAAATTTTGAGCTAAATTGTAATATGGACAAATTAAATTAATTAATATGTAATTAATCTAAGAAAAATATTGGAATAAACACATTAATAATGATGTGTATAAATGTTATTATGACTAATTAAGTTGACCAGAAGAGTGATCGTAGAAGAGTGGTCGAGACGTACGAGTGCAGGTGAGTCACATGTGTGCATGCCGCCCACTTGGACCGGACATGAAACTCGAGGATGGTGGGCCTTGGGTTTTGGGGCCAGGAAAATTGTGAAAACGATGTTTGTTCGAAAATCTAAGTTTATATTCAAATTTATTTATTGTTTTTTTATAAGACAAGTCTGATCAGAGTTCAAACTCTTGGCCCAAGTGAAGACAATTCAAATAGTTTCTTTGGCCGGTCAAACATCTATATGTTCCATTGCAATCATGAACAAAAATTGCGCATAGCCGTTATGTTGCTAATCATAACTGATGTTATAACCAAAGATCACACCTCCAACCATAATTATGAGTGGACTCTCTTTGTGAAAAGGTTCTCCCTCTTCGTTCGAAGATATTTTCATAGCTTCTTTTTTTTTTTTTCTTCTCTCAAAGCTTCTTCATCTGTTAGCCTTATTTGCAAACTATCATAGCATTTTAGTTCAGATATATTCTCGTTTTAATTCATCATAATTTTGATAATTTGAAGTGTCACTCTCATTAGAGACAAAAAATTTATCTTTGGAAATAAAAATGTAACTATTTTGCGGAGAGAATACCTCAATTCAACTTCTTAGAAATTTTGAGGAATTATATTTTTATCCAAAAGAGGCGGTAATAATTATATTTATTAATTTTTATTAAAATAATGATTAAAGATTAAAATTGAATTACTTTTAATAAATAAAAGATGTGTCCTTTGAAATTAAAATTGACACTGAATATATAAAAGACCAAAAATATATTTTACTGATATTTAAATATAACTTATTCTACAAATTCTAATAATTTTAATATTTCAAAATTATTATAAAAATTAGTATAACATTAATTAATATCTTAAAATTTAAATATATTATTATTTATATATTATTAGATACTAAAAAACACATAATTTTTTTTTTATAAATTTTACTTTTTATAAAATAGTAAAAGTAATAAAAGAAAAATAATGACTATAATGATTGTTAGAAAATAAAAAAATTTAAATATTGATATGAATAATGTGATAATAAAGTTAAATAACATAAATGTGATAATAAGAAATAATTATCCTCCTATTCAAATCACCATATAAAAGTTTAAAATGCGTCCGTGGTCACTTCATCCATTTTATCAATGAAATGAGCCCAAAACAGAAACAAACCCTAGCTGCGAATCTCGGACTCGTCAGTATTCAGCCGTCTCCATCCGGCAGATCTCGTTTTGTCCGGTAAACTGTTTCGAGCGTTCTCTGTCGAATTTTCTCTATGTAATTTTATTTTGTATGCACCAATGGCCCTTCGCAGCTGTAAGAAATGAGCTGCGAGGAAAATTTCGAGATTAGGTAGCTCGGTGCTATAAAGAATGTTTTGGCAGAAAAATTAACGGCAGGAATTTACTCCTTACTATTCCTGCTTCATTCTGCCAAAACAATATTTTTTTACTGTTGTATTTGGAATTTATTCATTGGATGTGAGAAGAAAAATGATGAGATGATCGCAAATCCGAATCACAGAACTCGAATTCTGTAATGGAATTATGATCTTCGATGTTCTCTGATTGATTGTTTTCGCCAACTCATTCAATCGTTGATGTCTTTGGTGTATTTGCTGCATTTTATGTTCATAATGCTAACTAATACCTAAAATTATTAATGATCAATTTTATTTTATGTTCATAATGCTACTAATTCCTAAAATGTACATGTTACAAATTTCAATTAAATTTATTGTTTGTTCAATCAATTTCACATTTAACTGAAAAAATAAAAATAAGATTGATTGAATAATGTTAAAGTTGTTGTTCTTTCCTTCCCGCGAAAAATTATTGCTTTATTTTTTTAGTAGATCAAATAATGATAGTATTTTATTTACTAGTGTGTAAGAAATTTTGACAAGTTTTCTTTTCTGTTTTGCAATTTATGTATAAAATTATAGTATACTTAATGATATTTTGTAGTTTATATAAAAGTTGTGGGTGTATTTGATTATGATTTTAAACTTATTTTAACACTATTTAGCTCACACAAGTTTTAATAAAAATATATTATTTACTTTCACAAAATATCATATCAAATACTATTTAAACTCCAATTTAAAATCAAAACAAAGATATGAAATTACAAAATATATGCATCTGATTGAGACAAAAAATGTATAAAGTATTGTATCAGTCGGAAAAAAAAAAAAAAAAAGATGCTCATACTTTGGACAAAGTTTTAATGTGAATAGGTAATAGTTGATATTTTTGTCTTTTATAGGAAAAAAAGATAAAAAGAAGGCAAAAAGTAGATGCAATTTTTACGAGAATACTTTCAGATGATAGATTTTTGACAGAAGGAGAATGTAATATTATATATATGGCATATTTATAAGTGTGTGTGCATATAGATATATATATATATTATCTTTGTATGTAAGTATATACATATGTATGTAAAAATTATATATAAGAGATGCATATATATATATAGTTGTTTATTATATATATGGCATGCATATATTATGGATTTCCTTCAAAAGCTTTCTTCTCTGTTCAACTATGCTCACACTCACACACTTGATCCTTTATCCCTACACTACCCTGGCCTTTTCAGATGGGCGGCTGCTGCAAGTGCAATCTGCATCAGATGGGTTCAAAATTCATTCGCTACCATAATACAAGGCAGATGAACAAGTTTTCCATGTCTAGTACAGTGACTTAACTTCACCACTCAACTTGTTTCCTCTGTTTTTCAAATGTTGGAAATGTATCTTCTGATTTTGTATTCTCTCATAGAATTTTTTCATTAATCATGACAATCTGATGCTCTTTAACCAATGACCTGTTCCACCACCATACACCACTGTGTAAAGAATTCAGTTTTCACATGAATGCAATGATGTGCTTGTTCTCTGCATCTATTTCTTATGTCTGTTTTGCTCCATTTACTAGTCTGTTTTGAACTGGTCTTGTGTTTTCTTAATTAACATGGGTTGGCTCTAGGCATGTTAACAATCTATTAAGGAGTGGGTGTAATGTAAGTCAAACATGAAGCCACATATAGATTCAGTGTGGTACAGTTTAGTTTTCATATTTGTTAATTCTAATGTTGTGCTAATTATGTTTCTGATCACTTTGAGACCACGATCTTAACAAAGAATATGCATTGGTATTTAGGTACTTAAATGGGGAGCATTTTTTTGTTCCATTGTTCCCTCATCATTCTTCAGCACGATCCCTTCAGCACAAAAAAAAGGAGTCTCAAACTACTTTGCTATGCAATTGTGCTAGAGGAAATGTTGCGATTTCGTAATGGTTGTAGCCTAGTGATCTCACCTATCGCATTTCTACTAATAAACTCTGTTTCTTCTTTTCAAAAATAAAAAACAAAAATGATGCAAGTGCATGTGAAATGGCCAAGTTTAACTATGAAATGCCCAAGATGAACAACAAGTCCTGTATAAAAGGTGTTTCTGAGGGTAAACCAACTAAGATGAATTATGCAAGCTCCATGGATAAATGGAGTTCTGGATTAAAAGTGTACGGCACTCAAATGCCCTCCAACCATACATATATGATTTACCAAATAATCCTCAGATGTGGTTTTCTCATTCGTTGTGATTATACTCAGGTATTGCTGCTACAAGCTGTGAGAAAATAAGGCCACGAAGAGCAAAACAAATAGCGGTAAATTGGGGCCATTACTTGCGCAGGTATTTCTAGTAGACAGGGAGAGAGAGTGCCTAAGGACAGTCATATAACTGAAGTTTGAAAAAAAATTAAAATAATAAGATAATGTTTCTGTTTTGAAATTCATAAATGGGAAACTATTGATTATTAACTGGAGAGCATTTTTCCAATGAAAACTGTATCAGATTAGATATGAATGCAGTTTAATACTGAAAATTTGGTGTTTTGTGCTTAAGAATTGAGGCAATTCAATGGTCCAAGTCTCGCAGCAAGGTTGATGGTGTTCAAATTGATTAAACCTATCATGTAATGGAATAAATATTGTACTGGATTTGAAGATCTGTAATGTAGTTCTTTCTTTGTGATTTAGAAAATGTATGTATGTTTTTTGTATGGATATGGTTGATTCAATCATAAAAACAAAGAGCGCAGGCCAGGTGGAAGCTGCAGGAACCTTGATTGTTGCAGTTGGAATTTGGAACTTGGATTGCATTTACATGTGCTGCTCTTTCCATCCTGATGAAGCTTCACATTTAAGGAGTCTCATTGTTTTTATGAATTTGTGGGGTTTCTTATCACTCATGGTACGTTCAGTTTCTGTTATGGAATAATAGTTTTATAGAATCATGTTGAAAGATTATACTTGTCACAATGATGGTAAAGGATTAACTATCCACATATGTACTATTCATCGAGCATTGCCCTTGTTTAATAGATGTGTCTAAAATTTTAATGTTCCCCTGTTGTTGTCCTTTTAAAGACGTGTTTACGCCTTTTTATACTAAATGTTTATCAAAGGCATTTTTTCCGCCCTCTTTTTGTATTTGGGAAGTGTAACCCTGAAAGGACATTGGAGGCTATATATAGCCCCTGATTCCCTCTTAAAGCATCCACCGGCGAGAACCTTTAGATTTACACATCTTCGTCCATCTCCTCAGGTATGTTTTTGGTTGTTCTAGGTTTTTTCGCTTTATGTTTTGTGAGATTTTTCGTGTCTTGCCTTTACAATTTTTTATATTCATGTTGCTTTAGTTGTATTCTTTTCCAATGGCGTTTCTTCGCCTTGTAGTTTACCGTCATGTTTGAATCAGTTTTCACGATCTACTATTTTATTTTTACCTTTTTGTTTCGATGTTTTTTTTGTTTATTGATTCATTTTTTGTATGGAAATATGAGTAGATTTCTTAAGTTGGTGTAGCGACTGTTATTGTTAGGGAAATTATGATTCAACACTAAATTGAGTAGATCTATGAATATATCCAAGTTGTTTTGATTCTTCTTTTTTTCTTTCTTTATATGGGATAAATGTTAAAATTTCTCAATATGATGAATTTACTTTGAATGGTTATTTTTTCAAAAATTGCATCTAATTTATGGATTGTGAGCAAAGTACTGTTGCAAGCTATTAACATTGCACAAGCACGAGCACACATCTCCACATTGTCCTGTGCTTTATGGGATGCGTTTGCAGCAAGGTACATCTTCACTTTAAAAAACATGAATCTATATGTTTCTTTCTTGTTGGTGGAAAATATTTATGGAGGGGGATTTTCAAGTCATGCAAACTGTACCATGGGTATGTTATATAAACATTCAAGATAAACTTAAAGATTAAAATTATTCTAGAGGGCATTAATTAGAAACAATTTCAAGTATTTTTTACATGTGTGCTCTTATGCACTCTTGAATGTTCTTATTTTCATTGACCATAACTTTTATCTTATATGGATCTCATGTAACTGCTTTTTTAGCTCTTAGATTAATCAAGGTGAAAAAAACAAATGGATTATAGAGGCATAGAGTGTTCTGAGTGCTCAATCTCAAATCTAATCCAGAAAGAGCCACCGATAAGCCGTTTTTTCCTAGTATTGTATGCTGACTTCTCACAAGCACTGGTACTCTCTCTCTCTCTCTCTCTCTCTCTCTAAATTTACAGGTTTTCAAAGTCTAGTTTGGCTATTGATCATTCATGTTAAGTTTATCGTCTATTTCTAGTCTTAAACCATGGGATGTACTTGGTTTTATAATGCTGCTTGTAATCACATGGCAATGTGTACTGTGTAGTAAATGTTATTTTTAGGAAGAAAACATGATTTGGCAAACAATTTCTGAACCTTAAAATAATTAATCTCGTTAAATCAAACCCCTATTTATCATTTTCTATATTACACTAAAAATCAATTCATCACGTCTAACACCTATTTGTATCACATCATATAACTATTCCAATTCAAAATTTTTACTATTCAAATTCGAAAGCAAAATCCAAACCCCTAAACAAACATACTTTTTAGTATTCTCTTATCACCACCAACTTGTCTTGAGTACTAGATGATTACTTTTTGGATGTTTGCTAGCCACTTTGCATCCACTGAACCAAAGATCTATGCAGACAAAATTCTTCTATATGTGTGCTGAAACTTTTTGCTTAAAGATGTCTCACGAAAATTCTGATATATTTGCAGTACTTGCCATCTGCATTTGCGGCAAGAGTGGTGCACTTGGCAGGTAAAGAAATTGAGCTAGAGGATATGTGTGGGCAGAGATGGCCTGCGACTCTTTCATTTGTTGGCCGTACGTTATCATTAGTGAAGGGATGGAGTAGTTTTTATAGAGTCCATGATCTCAGGAAAGGATATGTCTTGGTATTTACCTACATAAAAGGGAGTCATTTTCATGTTCAAATATATGCCAAAACTGCCTGTGAAAGAACCAAGTTAAGCTATGAAAGGCCCCAGACAAACAATCATGGCTGCACTCATTCAGCTCCTGAAAACAGAAGTGTTGAGGGGACGTCCAAAAGTAAGGGGGGCCCTGTTTCCAATATCAAGAATGGTGAGATAACATGCACTTCCCTACTTGTTTCCTCTAGTTTCTAATGTCGAAGATAAATCTAACGCAATTCTGTTTTAGAAGATATTGTCCTTCTCTCCTATAGGTACACTTGATATTGTTGTGTGAGAACATTCAATAGAACATTGCATATTTATCTTCATTCTATTTTTCTTTCTCACATCAATTAATGCTGCTATAGTTATTAGGCTAATGTTTATTGCTTTGGGTTCTCATGAAACACTGGTTGGTGTCCATACTGTGAATGCATAAACAATCTATTAAGGGTGTGTTTGTTTGGGGGTTTGGATTTTAAGTTGGGATTTGAATAGTAAAAATTTTGAATTTGGTAGTTGTATGATGTGATATAAATAGGTGTTGATGTAATGTTTTGAATGTAAAATTAATTTTTAGTATAATATAAAAAAAATAAAATAGGTGTTTAATTTGATATTTTTTGGGGAAAATTTTGGATGAATAGTAGGATTTTGGTAAAATCCTTCAAAAGAACAAACCGTAAGAAGGAGCTGGTGTTGAAACACAAATCTTATAGCTTTATTATGTGAATTTTATTTTTAACATCAATAATTATATTCCTTACAAAGTTGCATATCATTTTTATTGTATGTCCTGTAAGCAAGGCGCCTAACTTCCAATTTATTGTCTGTTCTATAATTTACAAGGTGCAGGAAATGGAAAAGGAAAAGAAAAAGAAAAAGAGCCAAATATTGGAAAGAAGAGGACGCCCAGTGATTCTAATGCAGCCCCATCTGTGGGTACAAGTGGCAACCCTGCAAAGCCGAGGAGGATGCGTGGTACTTTGGCTCTCTTCTTTGCATTTCATCTTTTAATGCATTGCAAATTCTTGAATATACTATACTAACCGAAGTATTTTGCTTACCATTTGCATTTGCCTTTCATTATGCTATACTTATTGGTTTTGGCTATATATATGGCCATCAATACTTGAGTTTAACATTCCATTCCATCTCATGGTGTAGGAAAGAAGAAGCCGCGTGAAGGTATCCGAAAGGGGACAAGGGGGGATGCATATGGGCTTTCGAAGCCTGCCAATCTTGAAGCATGCTACAAGCCTGTTGAGCTTGTAAGTCTCCCGAGGGTGCAACGGGAACGTGGGGAAGGGGAGGCAACGGTAGCAGGAATAGGTGCCGGTGTCAAAAGAGCTGATCCATCTAACAATGGGTACAAGATAGATCCAACCTATTTGAAGTCTCTGGGCTCAAAGCCACCAGGAGTTTATTGATGGAAACTTGGTACTGAAGATCTTTGCAAATCTCCCAGGCAGGCAACTATCCTCTAGTGTTATTTTGGGAATTATTTCTGGTTTATGCATATCACTATTATTATTTGTTGAATTATTATATTGGAATTGTGGGGAGGAGTGGGCACTCATTCATGTTCATATTTATATTTCCATTGCATGGAGTGTTGTTTGGATATCTTTTGTTAGGTTTTTGTGGGATCGAGTGGTTGGAGGTATGGTTTTCTCGATTTGTTGAATTGTAATGACATTAAATCTTGCATTTCATTTTATTTGGTGAAGTTGTTGGAATTGAGTGATTGTATATACTCCTCGTCCGACTAATTTAATTTTTTAAAAATAATATTTTATATTTAATGCTGTCTTGTCCAACTAATTTGTTAACTTTAGTTGGACAAGGGTTTAGGTATGATGTAATTATTAAACAAACAAAGGTATAATAATAAAAATAATTATGAGTTAATAAAAATAATTTTAGATTAAGATTAATATATTAAATAATTTAATTAAAATAAAAAAAATTAAATTTTAAAATATGATTAAAGTGTGTAATTTTATTTAAAAAAAAAAAACTAATTATGTGCTTGAGAGTGGAATGGAAAGAGTATTTTTTTTATTATGTTTATCTATCCCACTAATTACTTATTTTTTATAATCTTATTAATTACTTATTTTTTATAATTATAAGTTAATATTAAATACCTTTAATTTGAGCTAACTCTTATATTTACACACATTGTTAAATGAAAAATCTTCTTATTACTACTTTTGGCATATAGACAAATGACATTCTGCAGCCGCTGTCCACTCTTACCTGCAACAGCTGATTATGTGTGTTATCTTGTCTATTTTGTCTCATATGTGCATATATCCGTACAAGACAAGTTTGATAAAATGAGGATAGTCAAAGGAACGTCAGATCTACCTTGAGAACCGCCCTATTCCATTTGTGTGCTAAGGGAATTAATTATTGCTTAATTTTCACTCAAAATCAGGCTGCTGTATATACAGCATGGGACAGTCTCGGTTGAGAGAGAGAGCACATTTTGAGAGCTTATCCTAGAGAAAGAAATTATTGTAGAAGCTCCCATTTGAGTCCCTCCTTATCTCCATGTTTTTCACCTGTGTTTGATACACAAAATCCACCGGAGAAGTTGCCGGAGGAAGGAGTTCTCGGAGACCCAAAGGAGATAACAACCAGCTTGTTGGATACATTACTCTAGGCTTGTTGTATACAGTGGTGTCAATACGCGTTTGTGACTGCAGTACCTGTGCATTGAATGCAAGGTAAGCCTTCGTGGAGGATATGTGTTAAGTGAGTTGAAAGTTGTTGTGTACTAGTTTCAGTATTGATTATAGTGGAGTATCTCCTGCACTGGGATCCTCCAGATGTAGGTTGTTATAACCAAACTGGGTTAACAAATACTTGGCTCATTTATTGCTTTTCTGCTTAAGTATTTATATCGTTGTCGATGAACTGTTATTACTGTAAGTTAACTGCGCTTGAAGGAAAGTTGGCTCTATTTTAGGTATTCGAAGCAGACTTGTCGAACCACCATTTCCCAACACAGATACTGATATATTCAATTGTGATGAAGAGAGGAATATTTTATTTATTAATATAAATAATTTTGATATTTTACGTCATATTTTTGTGTTCTATATATAAATTACAATATAGTATATATATACGGAGATATATTTATAATTTATGTCAAATATTTAGGGTGTGTTTGTTTTAAAAAAAATAAAAAAAAAAGGAAAGCTTTAATTTATATTTATATTTATATAGCATTATACTATTATACTATATGATTATCTCCAACTCACTGTATTACAAAAAATAGGGGAGGGGTTCCAACCTTGTGTATTGTGTAATTCTAATTTTTTTAAGTAGATGATATATAATTTTATATTTTAAAAATTGTATGTAATTTTACTTTTTTGAAAAATAATGTATAATTTTATTTTTTAAAAATGATATAATTTTATGTTTTAGAAAAATAATAAATAATTTTATTTATAATAGTTATTAATTATAAATATTAATTTTTATATATATATATATATATTTTAAATAAAATATAAATTATATATGTATGAATTTAATGTAAAAAAAATTAAAATTACGATGTAATTTATAAATATAAAAAATTACTCTTTTTAAAATTAAAATTACGATGTAATTTAGAGTAAAATTACTGTACATCAATGTCTTTTTACGGTAGCAATTACAAAAATAAAATGGAGGGACGGAGATGGCCAGACAGGATCACTCTTTTAGTTACGACTGATTTGTTTATATTAGTGTTTAAACCTATTTAAAAGAAAAAAAAGTAAAGCATTGCATTTGCGGGACGAAATGGAAAATGTGTACTCGGACGGAGTAGTACTTTTTACTTGTTCTCCAAATTACTAGAAGGGAAGGGAAGCCGTGGGAGACGACGGAGCCGGCGGAGTCGCCGCCTGCGAGGTTTAATCGCTGGTGAGTGCTATTCTCCGTTCAATTCCTCGTACAAGTTTCCTTCACAAAGTTTAAGGATTCGAAAAAGATATGAAGCATCACACAAGTGCATTTCTCTCTAGTTCGATTTAGTGGGAAAAATTTCACCGAAGTTATGGAGGACTAGATAAGTGCACATCTCTGTTACTATTCTGAGGAGACAAATTAGGTCATTTAGGTTTCGAAAGCCACTGAACCTTTTTGTTCGCTTGCACCATTTTTTTGGACCAAAAATGTGATATGGATTGTGTGGGCGGTGGAGGATAAACTAAATTCTGTCGATGTGTATATTAACGATATGTGTTCATTACGAATTTCAGTTCTTCTTTAACTACAGTCTGAAGCTCGAGATTCAATTCAAGAAAAAGGAATTGGCATACGGTCATGGCTTGCTTTCCGATCCCACACCAGCATGGTCATGTCTTTCGGATGGCATTTTGTTATTGTGGGAGAACTCTTTTGGCAAATGACGCAGTACACAAGAAATTGATAGCTCTCCAAAACCCCAGGACTTTCTTTTCGTCCACTCTATTTAGTAAGGTACGGGCAGCATTATATACTATTGATATAGTATATTTGTTCTCTTTTCTTCTGTTATCTAATTAGTTTTGTTTACTCAGGATTTTGGTATTGGGCGTCAGAGATTGAATTATGGGCTATCTAAGGCTGTGCACTCCCTCTCTTCCAGTGGTCTGAGTACATCTGCACAAAATGCACAAAGTCCAGTTTTTGATTCTGATATCTGTGAAAATAAACCAGCTTCGACTAGTCTACCAAATGGCAGAGTAATGCTTATTGATGGTACTTCTATCATATACAGAGCATATTACAGGCTTATTGGTATGTATAAATATAGATTAATCTTTTTGAATCTGTTCGTTCTGTTTACTTGCTTGTGAATGTTATCCTGTGGTGTTCCATTTTGCATCCTTCATTTATCATTAATCACAGAGAATGGATACTTAATGAATATAATGTAGAGTAGAGAAATGGATGGAAAGAACGAGGACAACAAATCATTAACATTACAAAGATGTGATGCTAATATAAAACAAATCATTAACATTACAAAGATGTGATGCAAATCTAGTTTATATTAGCCTCAGAGTAAATTGTGGCTCATTTATGATACCTAAGTGAACAAGTCCTTCATCAGAGCAATAATGTGCAACTCGGTGTACGTAAAATTTTACTTGTGCAGGTTCATGTCATAACTGGATTTATTTATTCTCTAATATGTTAAATTGCCGTAGCTTCTCTTTAATAATTTTTGAAATTTGTATGCAGCGTGTCTTTGATTCCAATCAGATTGACTGTTTTCATTTCTGGATATCTACAAATAATACCCAATTTCAACTATATCAACTCACAATATTAAATCTAGAGAGTATAATTATCAGAAAATTTTACAATTTAATTCCTTCCCAGCCAATGGGAAAAGAAACTTCGCTTTGTAAGTGCAATGTTTCTATTGTGTGCCTCAAAGCAAGGTGGTGACATTATTTTTAAGGTTTTGTATGTGTTTGATTGAAACAATTAAAGGTGATTGTGCTAAAGTCTGTCTGTTTTGCCCTTTGATTAATTTCTGATACTGAAACTGGCAGAGACACCCACTTGGATAAAATGGAATTAAAAAAAAAAGTTAAGAATATCAAATTAAAGTTTCCTTCTGTTCAGTAATTTCCTTTGATGTCGAACTATCTAGCCGTAGCATGGACACAGAAAATTGGTGATGTTACTCTATCAGCAGGACAAAACCAAGGAAGTTGACCTCTCTGGTACTATTATATTGCTCACATCAGAATATTAATGTGTGATACTATCCCATGGTGTCATACTATTTCAAAAAGTTATAATATGCAGCTGCCACTATTCACTTATTCACTTCTTTAGGTTCTTGACTGTAGTCTATAATCATCATTCTGGATATGAAATATATAAAAATTGAATATGCAGAAAGAACATAACAAAAAACTACAGATGAAATGAGAATTTTAAAGTTGCAAAAACCATATAAAAAAGAATAAAGGTTGTATCTTTTGTGGGTTTTACCACACGATTTTACTATTAAGATTCTTTTTTTCCTCTAAAAATATCACATCAAACAATTACTTTTCTTTTTTTATATTATACTACAAATTTCTTTTACATTCAAAACATCACATCAACTTCTATTTATATCACATCAAACAACTATTCAAATTCAACTTTTTACTATTAAAAATTCCAAACCCAAAAACTTAAACCCACAAACAAACACACCCAAAATATTTTAACTATCTGCTTGCTTGGTTGTATTCTCTCTTATGTGAACATTATGGTAATTGGTGGTAGCTTTACGTTGTGAGAAGTATGTCTTCTGGTTGATATATTCTGCTATGTAGCTAATCAAATTTTCTGGGATCAATAGCAAAATTGCACCATGGTCATCTTTCAAATGCTGATGGCAATGGGGATTGGGTGCTTACTATTTTCAATGCTTTATCTCTAGTAAGTTTTATATTTTCATTCTAGTGTATTGTGCTTTTAGTTTTTAATGACTTTTTTTCATCGGTAAAACTAACCATTGTGATGAGTACTATGTGTGAGCACTGATTGCATGATTTTAGTATTGTCTCTTTGGCTTCAGGGAGCTCATGTCACATCAAATAAATTTCACAATAGAGTTATGTTATTCTTATTCTTCTTATTATTATTTTGAATGAGAATTGTTACATAAAAGGAAACATTTTTATCAAATGGTATGACTTGTATATAGATTGTTGTCTCAATACTTAACCAAAAAACAGATGACACAGTCATTTGCATCTATCATTTTCATTTTAATGGAATACATTCTACTTTGAAACTTGATGATAGTTTCATCCTGTTTCTCTGTGCCGAAAAACTTGCAATGTATTTGGACCGTTAATTTGGCTTCTAATACAAATCATCTGAAGCTGTGTCAGGATGATGAAATGAATAAACTTAATGATGAATATTTCTGTAACCAGTCAGTATATCAATAGTGATTCTTAGAACAATTTAGTCTGGTCATTTCAAAGGATTCGTCATAATGGATTTACCATGCCAAGGCAGATGAAATGCATAATTACCGTTTATGGTTTTCTTTTGATTATGGAACAAAGTCCACTGCAATATTTTATAATACTGTGCTGAAAGACATACGATGTTTGGTAGAATGGTAGTCTTTTCTACCATACAGTACCACTGTGTTTCCAAGATGATGAAATGGTAAGTCTAATGAGAAATATTCACATCTGTAGCTACTCAGCAATGAAAGGTTTCCTCATATAATTCAATCTAGTTTGTTAAAAACTTAAGAAATTAGATATTTGACTTTTTCTCCAAATATGTTGTTATCATGTCTCTGTTTTAACTGCTTAAAGGTCAAAATTTAAAAATATCATACTGTTTTGCTGCAGATAATTGATGTCTTGGAGTTCATCCCTTCTCATGTAGCGGTACGATTCTTCCTCTGTAGTTGTTGATAACTATAATGTGCATGGTTTAAAACTTTACAATTGTACTGTTCTGGAACTAGTAAAAAAGTTGACTGTACAGCTTCAACTAGAATCAACGCCGTTTTCAAAGCCAATAATAGTAATGCATTATGTCTTTCTAATTGTTGTCTGGCACATTGCAATGGGTATAGGATATTACTTGTGCATTAGGTTTGGCTCCTACATTTTCATTGACATGTCATCGTTTAAATAAGTGGTTTATCGATGAAAGTAGACATTTTTCTTTGTATAATTTAGGTCATGAAATTTACTCAAGAAAGTTAACTTCGTCTCCATGAAAGCACTCATCTACTATCTCATACTTTTGATAATCTCATCTTCCAAGCATTTTTGGAACTTGTAAGATTAGTTTCATGGCCATCAGTTACTTTGGAGTGCCTTGTAGAAGGCCTTTGTTTTGGGGATGTATTTTATGAAAGGAAATAGATCAAGATAAAAACATGAGAGTTTGCTTCCTGCCATTCAATTTCCCTTCCTTATTACCACTTCTGTTTTGGAAATTACAAATCCTCTTTTCTCACTAGATAGGCATTTTAAATCTCTTACACGCATGATAAATGCTCTTAGAAACATATATTATTGTTGTATCCAGTTGATAAACATGTATACAATCAAATAAAATTATGATAAATTTTGAAGTAAATTATCTGTCATAAAAAAACTAGGCTCATTGTCCTTTTTTGTCTGTCATAAAAAAATAGGCTTGTTTCCTTTTTAAAGTAAAATCATACCATTTCTTACTACTTTTTACCTCTTTTTCTACTTTTCTTATTATAAAATACAAAAAGTACACACAACATTAAAAGTCGTGCCAAAAGTAAATGAACTTAATTTTTGAATGACGGAGGGAGTATTATATAAGCATGTTATAATCTTCAGAAAGCTTGGCCATAAGAATGTTAATAATACATAAATGCAAGGTTGAATTTATTCCTAATTACCTTAAGAATGTTAGTACTTGTAATTAAGCAATGTTTGTGCTGTACTTTAGTAAGTAGCATTCCATAGTGTTTTTTGTGCCTCCAAGGTCTTTATGCCATTTGAGTTATCTACTGTTCTCTGTGGTTTTGTGCATCTATGTATTGAATTATTAGTCATATGTGTTTGCTCTAACACAAGTTAAATTTCCTCCGTGTTTGGCTTTTCAGGTGGTTTTTGACCATGATGGTAAGATTCTCTTTGTTCATGCTTATTTATCTTGCATTACTTGATTTATATACTTTCTGAATGGTTTATCCCGGTTTCTTTGGTTGTTAATAAATGTTACCTTGAAACTATAAACTATTATTATTAGAAAATGATGACGGTATCTCCAATTAAAAGAATGGCGGTGGATCCATTGTTAATAGGTTTGTTTTTTTTTTTTTTTTTTTTTTTTTTTTTTTATCAGAAATGTGCTGATGCGTATATATCTATATATAGTTTAATATGTCAAATACATATATGAGAGGAATATGCTTTAATTTTGAACTTTAAGTGTCACAAAACCAAGTCTTTGTTTGTGTCTTCACAGTTTCACTCTAGTTATGTAATGTGCTAACTCATATATGAAATGCTGATCCAAGGTTTACAAGATGTTGAGTGGTGCAAGTGATTTAATTATGTTGTTCAATAATGATCATATGCTGCTTTCTATGATTGAATATAATATCTGTAGATGCACAATATGTTGTTTTCATATACCAATATGTTATTGCTAAATTTATTAATTTGTTTAGAATATCCCTTTTATCATATGCTGATTATAGCTATATAATATGCTGAATACATTTATATGAAATGTTGACTTATTATATATAAAATAATGATGATGAATTTCATTAGCATGGCCTAGAAACCTGGCCAGAAAATAAAACAGCCACACAAATAATTTCCATATGCGTTTTTATGATAGAGGTTTGTGTATAGGGATTCTTAGATAGAATGGTTCATAGAATGAGTATGACTAGGCCTGGAAATGGGGTTAGGGAGTGGCCTTCACCATTGCAAAATCTCTCCTTTGCTCTGCCCTAACCTCTTCACCAATTCCATTGCCCTTCTCTTTCCTGCTCAATCTCCATGGAAGCAGGGCCATCAACTAATGGAATTTTTTGTTTTATATTCAAATGTAATTTAACTGAAAATGATGTTTGCTTCATTATAAGTTTATGGAATTTCAATATATCAACTCATTTCAACAATAATTATAAAATTAGTATTCCTAAAAAATTAACTATAAAGTACTTATTAATAGAAGCTTACAGTATAAGAATAAGTAGTTATGTGTTACATTTTCTTATAATTATTTGATAAAAAATATCTAAAAGTAACCAACAAAATTAAAATCATAATTAATTATTCCTTTCGTTCAACTAGAAAGTATACATATTTTTATTTTGGGATGCCCATTTACAAAGTAAATATTTCATTAAATACCTCACTTTTTTTCCACAAATACCCCTACTTTACATCACATCATTACTTTTATATCAAAAAATAAGGGCAAAAATGTCATTATACTACCTTTAACTACTCACTATAATTAAAATACTATTATTTCTTAAACACCACGCCAAAAGTAATTGTATACTTTATGTGTGGACGGAGGGAGTACCATTCAATACTTAATTCTTGTTATGATTAATTAATATAATATGAGGCATACATCATACATAATTTGTATGTGTATGTGTATATGCGTATGCATATTATGTAGGGGTGGATCATTGGTGAAGGTGTGGGCAAAAACCAACCCCACCCCCACAACTGCCCTGACCTGACACCATGGAGCAGCTGACCAAAGGCACTGCACCCTCTTCTGTTGCCATTCCTAGCTTTTTCATTGTGTCTCGTGGGAATTTTTTGATGACTTAAAATCCTTCACACTATTTGTCAGTGACAGCCATGTCATTAGCCATTTGAATCGCTATGGATGCTTAGGATGTGCTAGTTTTATTTTCTTCTGCTTTCTAGAACCACATGCATTGATGCTGCGACATGTAAGGTGGTGCTGATGGGATTGGAGAATAACTGCACTTAAGCCTTGAATTGGATACCCAAAAAATAACAGTGCTTGTGGTTAGTGTTTCAAATACATGAATATAGTTTTTCTGCTAAGCATTGTTCCGTATGGTTTGTCTCTCTTGTTTTTTAATTGGTGATTATGGTGTACTTTTTCAATTTCTCTCTATATAATGCAATTTTTTTTTTTAAATTTAATTGATTCAATGATCTTAATCATTTTGAAAGATTTTGCTCTGTCTATTCATACTTCCTAGGTTTGCTGGCAAAATTAACATCAGTTAAAGCTTTGGTCCTTTCAATATATAAACTTCAATTATAAGCCATATAAGACAGCTTATGTACAATGATATTTCAATAGTTGACTGTGCAGTGTGGTCATTTATGTTTGTTATTTATTTATTTATCTATCTTTTTTTTTTTGTGTGTTTTTTTGCTATGATAGTTTCTAGATGAAAATAGTTGTTGGATATGGTGTCCTACGTGGAAAATAGGTATTGGATTTGATTTTTGTGAGGTCAAGTGGTAGATTAACTAGTATATACGGGAGGTAAAAACACAAAACACACAGTGTATTTTGTAAAAAAGTCAATTTGAACTTTTCTCCCTTTAATTCATAAAAATGTTTAGTTTGTTCTTCTTGTTCTTCTTTTTTTTTTTCAATTATTTATGTCATGATTCACATGTATTTTATTATCAATATGAATCAAACATTTTGTTATAATATGAAGAAAGTTAGTGGACCCAAATAAGTGACATTAGATTAGTCAAACTAGATCGTAGTGTGTTTGAGTTTTTAAGTGTTTTAAATGTTTTCGTGCGTTTTGCATTTCATTATTTTTCAATGGAAAATAGTTGTTGGAAGTGTGTTTTTCCTGAGAAAAATAATCTTGTTATAGATTCAATAGTGTGAAACAGGATTGAAAACTGAAACAAACACACTTATAGGTTTTTGTAGCCTTGCAAGAATAAAAATAATAATCTTTTCACGTGGGACTACATCTGGAAGTTAAAATTTCATAAAGCACAGCTATCATTCTATGCAGCTTTTAGCTGTGTTGCTGACAGTTGCGTAATGATGTGGAAGATTCATCACACACATTTTTTTTTAGTGAAAACTGGTGCACAATTGCATTTCACTCAAGTTGTCTGGCAAAATCTGGAAAGCACTAGGTCTGGTTTGCAATTATGCAGTGTGCTCATTCTCAAAAGGACTATAGGATGTTTTAGAAAGACTCACCTTGTTCTGGTTGCTTCAAGCAATTTCTTTTATTGAATCAACCCTGGTTACCTAACATCAAATTCAAATCTGATAATCCTGGAATGTATTGAACCATATAAGTGTGACAGAGTGGGTTCCTTAGAGAATAATTTGACAAAAACAAAATTCATCTTTACAGGCGTCCCGTATGGTCATGTTTCATCCGAACGAAGTTTTGTTGCTAAAGGTATGCAAAAAATTTTCCCCCTCCTCTTCATTCATTATTGCTTGTGAAATTGTTGGGTGCATACAAAACAGCCCAAGTAAATGGATAATTGTTGAAATCTCCATTTTCTAATTGCTATGGTACTATTTTCACACAGTTGAACTTTGGATACAGTGCAGTTGATCTTGGTCATTCTTTGGGTCTTCACTTGTTTTCTTACTGTCACATGCATTTGAATATATGTTCTGTGAGTACCTGTGTTATTGATGGGATTCCTGCTTCTTGGGTATTATGTGGCCAACTCTACTGTGACTTCTGGTTGATGAGTGGCTGACACATACATTATTTTCTGAAGTGTGCCACGACTGAATCCTTTTACTGAGGTTTAAACTAGAGATGCCTTTCAGTATAAATGCCATGCTAATTTCTGGAAGCTATTTTTTTGGTGCCTGGCTTCTATTCATTTTTGTCACACATGCATATGGATATGTGTAACGTGAGTTCTAGAGTTTCACAAAAGTGATTCTTCTTTCTTGAGTGCTTCTGTGGTTGATTTTACTGTGTGATCCCTGATTGAAGAGAAACCAGCTCGGACATGAATTTATTTAGAGTGTGAGGATTGCACCCTTCTTTTTTGTTTTACTGAGGTTTTCATAATCTCTAGGTGACAAATAATATTCTTAGTAGGGGATTTGAACAATTATGAAATTATGATCTCTTATAATTGTTATTCGCTGTTGTTCTTTGTTGGATGCTTAAAGCTTCTATTCCTCTTTTGGTACTTATTGATGATTTATTATTTAGTAAAATAGATATGCACGTTCCTCATATCATTCATTTGAAGCATTCTTGCAGCAATTGACACTAATTTTTGAATGTTTCTTACAATGGAAATGTTAAGGATGTGTTTGTTTTGTGAAATGATTTGAAGGGATATTTTAGATATAGGGAATTGTGTAGGTCATATAAAAATAATGAGTGTGTGTGATATATTAATTTTTTTGGGGAAATATGTTGGTGTTTTTTGACAAAAACACACATCCTAAGATGTAATGAAACTCTGGCTTCTCAACTGCTTAGTTTAGTTTTTAGAAAAGGTCTACATGTCTTAAATGGAAGAATCTGCTTATTGTATGTCAATATCCTTGGTGTTACATTTTGAGAGACTTTATAAGTTGTTTTTTTAATAATGAAATTAGGCCCTATTTATAGATATGATATGAAATGGATGAACTTAAATAATAATCTAATCTAGTAGATATGTCTAAATAATTATCTAAATCTAAATAATATTAGCCAAAATATTTTTTAAAATATATCTACACTCTCTCAAACTCAAGTTTGTGTCGGAAATGCCACCTTGAGTTTGGTAAATGAGACCAGAGGTGTAGGTTGAATTCTGACAAACTTCATAATTGGGCTTTGGACCAGTTGATTCTTTGTTGTGACAGCGATGGTAAACTCTAAGAAATTAAAGTTTTGACCAAATTAGAATTTGTAATGGCCACGATCTTCTGTTATAGCGGCAGCGTCAAAATAAGGTTTCTTATGGCAGCAATCCTTTGTTGCACCCGGAGAGCTTCTATTGTTGCAGCTGTACTAAATCATAATAGATAGAAACTCCAAACAGATACCTAAAACCAAATAAGAAACTTGATAAAAAACTAGAAATTTGACAAATAGGTCAAAAATATCTCAATATATTCGGAACATTCTAGCAACTAAACAGCAGCCGCACCTTCACACGTGGCCGGAGTCGGCGGCAACAAAATTATTGATGCATTGACTAGGTGTTGACCAAGTATTGACCGGTGCAGGTAACTCACACACATTTCTTTTGTTGGCAAGTGTTGTCTCAGAGTAAAAAATATGGTGGTGGTGGTGGTGGTGGTGGTGGTGTTATAGGTCTGATGCTTTGGGAAAGTGACGACTAGATAATATTAGAATGGGATATATATTTTTGAGGTGATAGTGGAATTCAGATTCAAGAGGCAGCCTTCCTGTACATTCTAAGGTTTACAAGGATGTACCCGGCATGTTACATTTTGAGAGAATATATGAGTTGGTTTATTAAATGACCCGATATAAAATACATAAACTCAAATAGTAATTTAATCTAATAGATATGTCATATGTCTAAATGCATTGGTAGAATGCTACATTAGTCACCTAGATGCATTGGTTCAGATCAATGCATAACCAAGGTCATCTTTGGCAAACATCTTATCTAGTTTCACGTCCTAAAAAATGCCTTGACACCAAACACACAATGGTTATCATATCGTCTTTGTAAACTTGTATCTTCTAATGTATCATATAATGGAATAGGTGCTATGTACTACTGTAAAAAATTCACAATTTTATACAATATTTTAATATAAAAAAATAAAATAAAATAAAATTAAGTAAATGTACATAATTGCTCTATGCTATTCATAACTTACTTCAATCAAACAAAAACAATTTATTCACATACTTGAAATGAGAGCCACATGCACATAAGGGGTGTTGGAGTAATTATTTAATGAATAAATAATATGAAATGATATAGGGTTTGTTTGTTTAGTGTTTAAGTATTTTTTTTATGTGAGGTAGGAGGAATCGTGTCAGGTAGTATAAAAAATAATATTTTGTGTGACTTCTTGTGAGAAAATAGAATATATATTATATATTGGGAATTGTGTCAGTAAAACAATGAGTTGTGTGAACAAAGCCACATTCTCTTATCAATTTGGGCTTCTTAAGCTTTTAAGACGAAGTGACCTTCTGAAGATGATACTGCATTTATAGTCAATTATTTGTTGATTACTTACATTTCCATTCTGAGCTAGAAACTCTGTTCATACATAAGCCTTTTTATTTACCTCCATTGCATGTCATTTAGATAATCAATTTTACATCTAATGATAATCACTTACATAGAATGTAAATTCTAGTTTTCTTTGACAAGATTAATGGTTGCAACTCATAAATACAGTTTCCTGTTTCCAGTCTCCAAGTTCTTTTCTTGTTCTAATTTGTTATGCAGATAGCACAGTTTCTATGATCTTTGTTCCTTTGTTTATCCCTGAAATTTCTTATATTTAAATTTTCCATGAAATTATTCCTTGAACAACTCTTGACCATCAAAATTTCCCTTTTCTTTGACTTCTACATTGAATCTTGCTGCCTCACAATTAATTGATAGAAGAACCTCTTTTGTGGTGTCTAAGCAATTTTGCCACCTCTGTGTATTATTAAGAGTTGGTGTCTTGGTGGTACTCAAATTATCTATGACTGACGATATGTAATTGATTAAATATTTTTAGGCATGAATTTTCGGCACACACTATATCCTGCTTACAAAAGCAATCGGAGTCCTACCCCTGACACTGTGGTTCAGGGGCTTCAATACTTGAAAGCTTCCTTAAAGGCGATGTCCATCAAAGTAATTGAGGTATGCAGATAACATGTTGGTTCAGCATCGTTAAAGAGTGTAAAGAAAATGACTATTAATTTCTTTACTCCTTGCAGGTCCCAGGTGTTGAAGCTGACGATGTTATTGGGACCCTTGCTATTAGAAGTGTTAATGATGGATTCAAGGTAATATCGGTATTCTGGTTGAATGAGGTTATGAGCGATCCAAAGTGAACATTCTATAATAGCTTTGTTCTTGTAGAAATATTTTGACTAAGTGATTAAGTAAGTAGTTGCATAATCACATAGAAGATAGCATCAGTTTTTGATGTTTATCTATGTATAGAGTTGGTGAATGAGTGGTTTGAAAGTTTTGGGCAATGCACTAGTCTATGTTGATTATGAAGTATGCCTGTCTCTAATTTAAACACACGCGCACACACACACATCTCATCTTTGCTGAATTTGATGGAAGGAGTAACGATTTCATCATTTTAGGGCAAAATTTTATGCTGGCAAATTGTTTGAGGAAGGACATTCAACCATTTGGTGCGGTAAATAATCAGTGACACCAATGCCTGGAACTTAGTTAACATTAGTTTTGTGCTGTTTTTTCCACAAAATGTGAAGATTTGCAAAGCACAAAGTATGCAAAATAGAATTAAAGATTGGCACTGCTGCTGTATTTAGAAGTTCATACTGCTGTCAAGCAGGTGAATTTGGACTTGATGAAAATATTGACTGTGGCCATGTCTTTCTGAGTTAGCCCTTGGCATCTTCTTCTCATCCTTCAACAATATTTTTCATACTTATACTGAATTCCTTGATTGAGTGAGTTAGTCTTGCTATTTATATATCCAGTGTTTGTTATATTTTTCATTGGCTTATGATTTCCTTGAAATTTATTTTTATAGGTACGTGTTGTGTCTCCAGATAAAGATTTTTTTCAGATTTTATCTCCTTCATTGCGACTCCTGCGAATTGCTCCTCGTGGCTTTGAGTTAGTCTCTGGCATTTTTATGGTTTCAACTATACTTCCCTTCACAAATTACTTTTCATTAATTTATTATATGTTATACATAATTCCATCATAATATCTATCTCACCGTTTAGATAGAATACAAAGTTTTGCTATGTCTTTGAATTCTCTATAGATACTGAAACTATTTGCAAAGTCTCTGGATAACCATTTCTCGGTGAATCTTTCATCATTTTCTGGTTAAAAGCGAGTTTCATGAGTAGACGGAGGATCTTTTATCTAGTTGGTGGGTACATCACTTGAGTTTAATTCCAAAGGGAAAGAACTGGATATGTGAAGAAAAATGGTAGAAAGTTATATATGTTGTAGATTATTAGAATCTCTTCTTAGGGTCATCGGCCATTATCAAATGTATGACTTCTTGGTTTAATGAACATAAGGAACAATCATTTGCTGCCTCTATTCAAGACAGTACATTTTAAAGTGGTGTTTCTTTTTCCTAACTCAGGAGTGTTGTGACACTTATTTTATCATGAGTAATACCATTTCTGTGAATATTTGTAAAATACTGGGTACTGAAGTTATTATGACCTCATGTGTAAATTTATTTATTTTTTTTTAAAAAAACTATGGTTGTTTGCATTTATGATGATTTTTGTTAAAGACATTCTTGGAATTCTTCTCAGGATGTCTTCTTTTGGGCTCGAAGATTTTGCTGAGAAATATGGATCCTTGAAGCCATCTCAATTTGTTGATGTAATAGCACTTATGGGTGACAGATCTGATAACATACCAGGTTTTCTCTCATTTTCTAGTTTGATTCTTGATTTTATTAGGCCATCCTTGTTCGAGTTTTGGACTGAATAAAGTTGTTAAACTTGGTGATTAATACTTCTGTCTGTCCCTCTTGAATCTCCCATGATACTTTTTTTCTTATGCTCTTAAATTTGGCAATGCTAAGTTTGAAGTAGAATGTGAGAGAAGTATTCAACATTATTTGTTTGGTTCAACCATTCCATCTACATTTGTGGCCGAAAGCCAAAACCATATTGGTTGTCTCAATTTGATATTACAGATACTAATGGCAACAATTAAGTCATCGGACTTTGAGCAGAGAAAAATAAGTTTGATATAAGTGAGACTTGTAAAATTGTTAGTAATCTGCCATTGGGATATTGATGCCTGCAGCAGCTTATTTTTTTATTTCCAACATATTGCTCAACTTTTGGTGCTTTTCAATGATTTCTTTTGGGGGGTGGTGGGTCATTGATTGCTAGATTGCAAAATATTATGAATTGATAAGTTGCCTGGAATGCAGGAGTTGATGGAATTGGAAATGCACATGCTGTTCAACTTATTACAAAGTTTGGTATGTTCACATACTACTTGTCATAGTGTTTATGTTGTTTTATTTATTTATTTATATTTTCAACAATAGAATTTCATGCTGCTGGAAATCCTGTTCTGATTTGTGCTATCTTTCTCTTTTCATTCACTGCTAGACCTGGAAGAAATGAAACTGAGTGATTGAAGTTCTGATGTCTTGCTTTCCTTGTAACATATGATGATTAACTTATCTGAATATGCAACAGATTGCATAGATGCAAAGCATAATTAATATCTGAATCATGGAAGTACTACGTGACCTCTTGATTGATTTTATGCTATCTTCTAACCATTACAGCTGATTACATATTATTAAAAAGCCACATACCTATCATGATGTTCTTTATAGAATATTATTTTGTCAACTGAGTTTCTAGTCAAATGCAAACCGGAGAACGAGACTTCATTTCAAATCATTTTACATGAACTAAGAACTATGTTGCCCTATGAAATTATTGGAATGCAAGTATTGCTTTGGTCTGTATATATATTTTTCAAGTGAATGTTTGTTGAATCAATCTTATCTGTTTTATATTGTTAGGTTCACTGGAGAACTTGTTGGATTGCGCTGACCAAGTTCAAGAGGACCGGATAAGAAAGGTTGGAATTACTATTGTGGAAGTTCCTCATATTTGGGTTTTCATGTTTTTTACCTTTCATGGCTTGAATTTAAAAAAGACAAAATAGAAAAAAAAAAAAGAGTTATATTTCTCTATAGACCATTCTGATGGTGTTCTACTTAGACACATGCTTAGCTGTTCTTATCATTGTAGAGAGATTACCAAATGGAATTGAAGGGATAAGGATTTTTTGGTTTTAATCACAATCAATTATTTCCAATCCTGCTAAGACATGGAAATAAATTTAGAATGAAATAGATACTGCTAGAAAGGTTGGACTAGCATTCACTTTAGCTATACTCTAGGTAAATTATGATTGTATGAGTTAGTGTTGGATGTTGTTATGTCCAACTAGATGAAGAAAATTAACGATGATTTACGATATTTTAATAAAGATTGAAAACTCCAAGTTAATAAATCTGTCACTAGCAATGTCAGAAATCTAGAACTGAAAAAATTCTGATGAAGATTTTGATTTCTATTCAGAATCTTTGTCCTACTACTGGTTTATGTTGAATTGGCTTGGCATGTGTTTGGATATTTTAATTCTTCTTCTAGATTTTAATGCCACTTTATTTCATTCAGTCTTTGATTGAGAGTTCCGAGCAAGCTATTCTCAGCAAGAATCTGGTGAGTTTCTTTGTCTGTTGAATAATCGCTTTCTGAAAACTTGGATATTCTATGTGCTGAGTACCTTCTTTTATACAATGTAGGCTATGCTACGTTCTGATCTTCCATTCTACATGGTTCCATTTGCCACTAAAGATATAGCTTTCAGTAAACCAGAGGTTAGCGCGATGCAAGATATTCCTTTTTTTAGCTATTTATGTGAGAACTGAGATTGTGAATCCTTTGCATTGTGTTTTTATTAAATGAAAATGGGTTGATTACATTAATCTGATTATGCTGTTAAATCGAGAACCAATTTGCATGTAGCCTTGGTTGCATCATGATAATGTGAGAATAATAAATTCCTGATGGATTTTTCCGACACAGTAACTTTAGGCCAGTTCATCTTCCCACCCCACCCCATATTTGTATAGGTTTTTTCGGAATAATAAAGTATAACTAGTTGAATATATAATGTATGCATACATACGGTCTATCACTGCTTAAAACTCGAATTTGTATGGAATCTCCGGTAGTTATTTACATTTTTATGCTTTGAATATTGGCATATGTTTTTCATATGCAACACAAACCCTTGATTCCTAAAGCTTGGCTGGGGTGAATGACACAGGATGATGGGGAGAAATTCAAGAGCCTCCTGACAGCCATTAGTGCCTACGCAGAAGGATTTTCGGCAGACTCTATAATTAGGAGAACCTTATCTTTGTGGAAGAAGATAGAAAGCCAATAGCAATAGCAATAGCAATAGCAGCACCACACCAATGCCTGCCTCCTCCTACATTGGTCTTCAACAATTTAGAAGGTGTCCGACGGACAGAAGCCGGAAACGACTAACTGATTCTGGGGACAAAACAAACAGGTGAAAGATAATTTATTTGCCTGTGGGTCGAATCCAAAGGTGGTTTTACAAAGTGCATATTTGGCTGCTTTCTCTTGTATATTTATTGTTAGTATTAGTGCTACATTACTGTGTGTGTGTTAAATGACAAAGTGTAAGGTAATTTATTTTTATCTGTTACTTGGAATGAATTTCATTTAATTGAATTGCTTGCTTCTTGCTTATTAATAGCTTCTTTAGTGTTGGTTTGGTTACAAAATAATAAAACAGATCATATAAGGGACAATGGTCGGGAGTTTGAACTCGTTACTTTTTATGTATTCAAACCTTTAACGACTAATATGACTTTTTTTTGTTGGACTTCTCGACTGGGATTTATTCAAAGCACTTGACAATAGCAACTGTGGCTTTTTTACGTCATAAAAAAATAGTAGTTGAGGATAGAAGAAAAAACAAATATATATATATATATACACGTATATGAAAAAAATACTTTTTTTATTTATTTTTTTTGTTTGTTGATATTTGAATATTAATTATTATACAAAAATATAGTAAAAAAATTACAAAAATTACAAAAATATCTTATAATACTAATAAAATAAAATTTGTACAAAAAAAAAATTATACTAAGGATGTTAAATACAATGAGAGTGACTATAAAAATTAGTATTGTGGTATTAGTGTAGTTGTTTTTATTATAATAAAAAATTGATATTATTTAGTGGGATAGAAATAAATGATAAAAATGATATTTTAAAAAATAATTTTATAATTAAAAATAAATAAAATCTCGAAAAAAGAAAAAAGAAAATTTGTATCTCCAATTAAGTTAATTTTAATGGATGGAGAGAGTCTTATAATTGAATAATTTAATTAAAATTTAAAAAATTATAAAATATAAATTTTAAAATATATTTATAATTTTAAAAAAATAAATGGACATGCCGGATGAAGGGAGTAATATCCTTTGGGTTTTGCAGTAAGTAACTTCATTTCTGTAAAATTCCACGCAAATTCCAAATCCATACAACGCCCTGATTTATGTTTTCTAGCACCTACTTCGAACCAGGCGTTCGATGTTCGCCACGCCAGTTCCGATCTTCGCCGGCGATACGATACGTGCAGATCGCCGATTGGGGATAATGGCGTGGAGCAGTAGACCGCAAGCGGAGGATATCCAAATAGCTCCGGCGATTCTCAGCACTCCGGCGGTTTTCGGTCTTTTCCGCAGAAGAAACACGGCGCTGAAAGAGCAGGATAAGGCGAGCATAAGGCAGATCAGTAACGCATTGTAGGCAGACAGAATAGCTTGATCTCCGGGGTCTGGGGGTTTCCGCCGAAGAAGGGGAAGCAACGCCGCCGCGCCGGAACTGAGCGCGACAACCACCGGAGAAACCCTATCCCTGTTTTCTGAAGATTTGGTGAAAGAGGGGCGATGATTGTCCAGGTAAAGCTCAAAGTGTTTGATGTTCTTGGATGCCATAAGAGGAGGAGATGGTGCTGCTGCAAATGAATTGAGTTGATTTTGGTGAATGTTGGCCTCGACGCGTTCAAGTTTCAACTCGGAGATTAGAAAATAAAATAAAAATAAAGAGGGTCTGGTGCGGACAGGATGAATGATGACTTTATAAAAAAGTTGCAGTGTTGTGTGTGTTTTCAAATGAAGAGCCAACAGGAGGTTAGATCTTGACCTTCGATGGCTTGGCTGGGAAAGGACAAAAACTCGTTGGAAACCCCTACAACTGCATATATGATCCTAATCCTAATCCTAATCCTATTGCTGCTGCTGCTCTTAAGTTCAATCCTTATGAAGAAGAAGAAGATGGTGGAAAGATTGATTATGATAGCTGGTCTTTTTTCGGCCCAGCTGGTAGGTCTTCAACCGAGACAAGATCAGCTGCTGCCATCCATCCCAAGAAATATCTATTCTTGGATTATAATGGAGAACTCCTGGAAATCGAACCACAGGCGGCTATTAACAATGATTATAAGTTCGAGCATCCAACATTCGAGAAGCTAATGGATAAGTTCAATCGAGTCTTTGGTGCCCACGGAGATGGAGCTGTCATGGGATTTATGCTTCCCCGTGGAAGACTACCGTATCCGCAGACCAATGGACTAATCTGGTGGGATCATGTCACCATTGATGTTGTCGGAGGAGGAAAAGATCATTATTCCGACACCAGGTTTCGCCAATGGGAGAAATACATAGCTTTTATGAAGAAGACAGAGGGATTGCCGGATCCATCGGTATTCAACGAGGCAACACTAGCCGACGTTGGAGAGGCAGCCGGTGCAGCTCTGGGCCGTGCCATTATGCCCCCCAGCTCACACGTTTGGGTTAAGGCATTTGCTTGCACTTTTGTGGGCATAGGACTGCGCCGACGCTAGGCCTCAGGTGGCGCAAGGTCTGATCAAAGCTGGTGCGCTGGCTACGGCTTTCCCTGTCATCGTGTCACTGGGGATGGCCCTTCCGGGCGTGCTGGCGTGGCCTGTCGGTGGTGCCGCCTTTGCCCTGGTGGCGACTGCGGTGGCGTGCGCCTGATTGCTTTGCTCCATCCCTTGTATCAACAATCAAAAGCTGCTCTGCTCTGTAGATCTTCTTCTGCTGCCTTTTTATTTTTATTTCTATGTTTACTTTTTGGTTATGATTAGATGAAGAATGTGCAACCAACCAACCAACCAACCACCTTTACCTTTGAGGTTTTGGTTTTCTCTGATCAGAAGTGAAAATAAGATAATGAAATTGAGGTCAAAAGTGTGCATCATGAGCTCGCCGGGCGGCACATAGATTTGCCCAAAATTTTTAAGATAGCCGGTTCAAAGCATCCAATCGAAATTGTGGACAAACAATAATCCAAACTGAATTATATAAAATTTAATTTCATATTTAATCAAAAGCTGTGTTTTTTTGGGTTTGATTTGATAGTTGGTGTTTGGTATTAAAATAATGTTTAAAATGATGTTATGTGAGATAATAAAATTTTAAAATCATATGTTTAAAAAAGCACATTTTGAACCAAAAGCTTATTTGAATTCAAAACCCCGAAACCGCAATATTATGGATGATAATAAGATCGACTTGAAACGAATTCTATAGGGCTTCGTCCTAAATTCCTCCGGGTTTGGGGTCAACTCAATAAATTTTTTTTTTTTTAAAAAAGTTGTATAATTTATCAATAATTTAATACTAAAGTAAGCAATAAAAGTATCAAAACAATCAAATGATGACGGTAATCTTCCGGCGGACGAGGGAACGGCGGTAGTCTCCTTTGTTAAAAGAATTGAGAAAGAACAAACACAAAAACAAATTTTATTCAAAAATTAGAGATTTGTTTTATGTTTTAATTTTTTAAAATAAATAATATATATTATATTAGATTATATAAATATATAGTAATTCTAATAATTATTAAAATATATAGGTCAGATCCAGTGTAGTGCTAGTTTTAGTAAAATCTATTATCCCTCCAATTGGTCGGATTTAAAATTTAAAATTCTGAAGCCGTTCCAAAGCATATTTTTCAGGCCTGAATCGTCCCATTAGGAGCAAATCGCGGGCGGTATCAAGACACGCTTTTGACCTCAAAATCATTAATTACAGGGAACTCATCTAACCAAGATTCCATTCTGCAATGGACACTCGAACTAACTAACTAACTAACTTTATCCACTCTGTAATTCGCGAGACATGTTAGATTGCAGCAGAATCAATCATCAAATTAAATGTGGTCTGAAAGCTGCCCAAAATTAGGATGATCATCAACCAGAACCAGGCCCTCAATTTCATTATCTTATTTTCACTTCTCATCAGAGAAACCCAAAACCTCAAAGGTCATTGCACATTCTTAATCAAGCAATCCTAATAACCAAACAAACAAACGTAAAAATAAAAGGCAGCGGAAGAAGAAGATCTACAGAGCAGAGCAGCTTTGGATTGTTGATACATTCAGATCAGGCGCACGCCACCGCAGTCGCCACCAGGGCAAAGGCGGCACCACCGACAGGCCACGCCAGCACGCCCGGAAGGCCCGCTCCCAGCGACACGATCACCGCCATGGCCGTAGCCAGCGCCCCAGCTTTGATCAGACCTTGCGCCACCTGAGGCCTAGCGCGGCGCAGTCCTATCCCGGCAAAAATGCAAGCAAATGCAACCATAGTGGCCGTGTCGGTAAATGCCTTAACCCAAATGTGCGAGCCGGGGGGCATAATGGCACGGCCCAGAGCTGCACCGATTGCCTCTACAAAGACGGCTAGTGTTGCCTCATTGAATACCGATGGATACGGCAATCCCTTTGTCTTCTTCATAAAAGCTATGTATTTCTCCCATTGGCGAAACCTGGTGTCGGAATAATGATCTTCTCCTCCTCCGACAACATCAATGGTGACATGATCCCGCCAGATTAGTCCATTGGTCCACGGTAGTCTTCCACAGGGAAGCATAAATTCCGTGACCGCTCCATCTCCATGGGCACCAAAGACTTGATTGAACTTATACATTAGCTTCTTGAATGTTGGATGCTCTAACTTATAATCATTGTTGATAGCTGCCTGTGGTTCGATTTCCAGGAGTTCACCATTATAATCCAAGAATGGATATTTCTTGGGATGGATGGCAGCAGCTCTTGCCTCGGTCGAAGACCTTCGAGCTGGGCTGAAAAAATACCAGCTATCAGAATCAATCTTTCCACCAGCTTCTTCGTTTTCATAAGGATTGAACTTAAAAGGAGCAGCAGCAATAGGAGGATGTATCCAGTTATAGGGGTCTTCTTCTTGGGGCTTCTTAAAGCTGAATCCTGGTCTTGATACAGAGATCCCCTCACCCTCACCCTCACCCTCACCCTCACCCTGATCACCAAAGCTGCTGCTGCTGCTGCTATTTGATTTTTGCAGGTAAGAGTCAATTGCAGACATGAAATGTTGATGCATTAAATAAGCAGGTGAAGAAGAAGAAGCTGTTAATCCCATTCCAAAACCACAGACATAAAATTCCATTTTAACCACAGCATCAGTCACGACATGTTTTTCTTCTTCAGGACTCAACTTCATTATCATTTTCATGTCCTCCAGAATCAACTCTGCGTTTTCGATCACCTGAGCAGCAGCTAACGCCTTATCAGCAGGAAAATCATTCCCTCCATCTCCATACTTCTCCTCCCAATCTTTCTTCAACCACCAATAGATGTAGTCAGAGAGATGATCAGGATCAAAATTTGATTGT